ATGTGTGTTCAAATAGCATCGACACACAGCTTCAGGTTCTTTATTTCTATATGATAATTCTTCATAATTAAACAATAAGAACAAGCAGTCTGATGTCCTGCAATCATTACGAAGCTATAATCTGAAATACAATAACACATTAAGTTTTTGCACAAAGTATCGGTATCGGATCAGTGTCATCGATACCACCCTGAATTTTACTCGGTATCGGATCAGAAAGGAGATCAGTGGTATGGCACATCACTAATCACCAGCGTGCATGGAGATATGGCTTTGTATTAGTTGTGGCGAATGATTCAACTCACTGTACCACAGAACTGAGAAAAAAGGAAGAAGTGGTACACACGGGTCTTTATTTGTTAGAGTGTGACACCGTGTGTGCAAAAGAGGGTATTACAGCTAAAAGGAAAAAAAGTGGTAGGACTGAGCTAAAGTACTCTCTGGCTCCATCCGGTGGAAGGAGCGTGAAACTGCAGGTCACTCCCCAGCCCTGGTGGACACGGGTAGAATTCATTAGAAGAGTAATAAATGCATAAATAATAAATAAATATTCTTGTTGCGTTCCCATATGTCTCCACTTCGTTAGTGACTCTAGTCACATGTATATAATGTTTCCTCTGTGAGAGCGTCTGTTCCTCTATCCCTGTGTCGCTCAGGATCTGTGTTCCCAGAGTTTCCCAGCCTCTACAGTTTTTTCAGTTCAGGTTTTCTCTTTAGTTTCTCATTTTTGATTGGTTTTCTTATCTTTGTACTGTTTTAGAATCATTAAATGGTTCACTTTTCGTTAAGTTCATTTCCTGCCCTCACTCTGCACTCTACATGATCTGCTGCCCGCAGTCTTGACAGGTCCTTTACTTCTGATACATGATTATTATCATCATTATTTATTTTTATTGTTATTAGCAGCAGTGGTATTTGACAATAGTAACTCATTCAATTAATCAGAGTTGTAAATCATTAGTATAGTATATTTTATGAAACTGATAAAACTAATAAGTGCTGCTGACCATTAGTCAGGATTACAGATGCCCACTCAACAGGTAGCAGAGGACATTACCTTATACGCACAATCCTTTGTACCAGCTTTGAACCAAACTAAGCTTTATAGACAGGAACAGGCAATCCTCACAGCCATGCCTCTTAGGCTACGTTCACACTGCAGGTCTTTATGCTCAATTCCAATTTTTGATCAAATCCGATTTTTTTTGTCATGTTGCTCACACTACAAATAAAATGTGACAGCAAACGCGCTCTAGTGTGAACGGTTCACGGTCCTCAAAGCGGCCCGCATGCGCAAAAGAAGACGTCACACAACGTGCTCTGTTTACGGAAGTAAAAATGGCGGCTACAGAGCTGGTAGGTGTTGTTGCAGGAATCTATCAATTTGTGCACAGTCGTAACCGACAGAATTTTGACAAATTCATTAGAGAAAGAAGGACACTGAGAAAACAGAGAGCCCGTGCTTTAACAGTGGCCTTGTTTGGAGCAGTGGCTGCTACCTCGGTGCAGAGGTATATATGGACATGGAGTCGGAACCAGTGAGTGGCCCTTGACTCGCTCCGTCTCCAGTTTCCGCCACCATGCTTTCTCGTTTGTCTTCTCCGGCGCTGATAATTGGCGTCTGTCTTGTGTCAGTGACGTAAAAGACGGATTTAATGTGACTTAATAATGTAAATAACCTAATAATGATCCTTATTGCTGTTTTAGAGAGGAGCGGTGCTTCAAAGGATAGCTGCAGATTTCTGTCAGACTCTGCAGATTATACAGAACAAATAAAATGTTCACGTTTCTCCAACGTTGTCTTCCCAACAGTTTCACTGACATCTACACCGGATGGCCAGGAAGCGTTCACGATGTCTTCTCCGGCACTGATAATTGGCGTCTGTCTTGTGTCGGTGACGTAAAAGACGGATTTAATGCGACATGACCATCAAACAGCAGTCGCTTTCTGAAACATCAGATATGTATCGGATTCAGTACCACATATGAAAGTGACCCAGGTCGGATTTGAAAATATCGGATTTGTGCCGTTCACACTGTCACACCATGATCGGATAGATGGGTCGCATAGGGTCAAAAAAATCTGATTTGATGCGCTTTCGCCTGCAGTGTGAACGTAGCCTAAGTCTTCCCTGTTTTAGTTCCTGCAGCAGCACAGATTCCAGTACAGTTCCTGAAGCTGAAGCATTCGAAATGTAAACTCTCCCCCAGAGAGTGAGAGTGGGGGAGAGATATAGGAGAAGAGGATAATGAACTTAACCTGGGTGTCTATTGTCTTGGGTAGTCTGGGAGATGAGTGGATGATGGGGTGGGTACAGTTTTCTCTGTGGTGGGGTCGGGTGGGCTGCTCCAGATTCTGTGGGGCTGGGCGGTGCTTCTGTGGACCCCGGTCCAGATGAGCCTGGGCCCCCTGGTCTTGGTGGGTTCCAGAGAGCGGGGGTGCCTACTGGGGTCAGTAGGGGGAGCTGGCCCCAGGGAGGGGCCACTTGCCTAACCCCCACCTGTCTCCCTCTTCCCGCTCCACCACAATCACCCACACATGCAGGGCCTTGGGGTGCAGGTGTGTCACCAGGGTGCAGGGGAGGCATGTCTGTGTCTATATGGTCTGGTCTCCCCACTCTCCCTGCCGGTGGCTGACGCCCTCAGACATCGGTGCTTTGGTGGTTCTTGGTGTCCGCGCCTGGGTACTCAGGTATGCACCGGCTCCCGGTGGCTGCTTGTTGGGGACTGGCGCCTGTGGCTCGGTCGGGCCCTTTCTGGGGGGCGGAGTGCCCTCGGCCTCTGGGCCTGCGGCTCACTCCCCTCTGGCACAGCTGGCTGCCGGTGGAGCTCAGGGGCACGTCACTGCAACCCCCTCTGGCTTCTGCTCCGTGGGTGCTGGGTGACCCCTCGCCCGGGCCTCTCCTCAGCTCTTTCCAGGAGAGTGGCGTGGTTGCCCCTCCGTTGGTCTTCCTTGGACTTTCATGCTCTGGGGGCCTCTGGATGTCTGGAGCCTGGATCTCCTCCATACCTGCTTCATGCCCTGGGGGACGGGGCTATGGCCTCTGTATAGGAATTTCTTTTACTTATGTATTAATCACATTATTTTATTGTATAATGCCTTGGTGCCACTGGATTTTAACATGTCTCACACTCATACAGTAAGACAAATGGTGGGGGGTCCAGTAAGGAAGTTGGGGGAAGCAGACGACTCCACAGGAAGAGTCTTTTGTCTCCTCGAGGACTCTGGGAGGCAGCAAGGGAGTGTGAACCTTAAGGTGTGAAACAGCTGTGTGCTGCCTTTTGTTCCTGGAGAAGGTATTTCACTGAGAGCCATGCTGGACTCAGACTCTGCTGACCGTCTGCCCCGCGGTCATGCAGGGACTTCATCAAGCTTGGTTGTCTGTCCTTTGTGTGTTTGATTAAAGAATGTTAGCTACCGCTCGTCTGCAGGCTTTATTTAATGGAAAACTTCCACAACACCCCCCACACCCTCTAGCAGATCGTTACATGAAGGAACCTTTTGAATACAAGCGTGCTCATGCTCACAGGTGTACACACGGGTGCTCACAGACACAAACTACACCTTTCTTGGCTGCTACCTCAAAGCACACTATGCGCTGTCGCTCTTACGTGCTGCACAATGCTATCGGGCGATCGTGGCTCAAGAGTTGGGTGTTCGCCTTGTAATCGGAGGTTGCCGGTTCGAGCCTTGGCTCCGACAGTCTCGGTCGTTGTGTCCTTGGGCGAGATACTTCACCCGTTGCCTACTGGTGGTGGTCAGAGGACCCGGTGGTGCCAGTGTCCGGCAGCCTCGCCTCTGTCAGTGCGCCCCAGGGTGGCTAATGTAGCTGCCATCACCAGTGTGTGGATGACTGGATCTGTAAAGCGCTATACAAATACAGGCCATTTACCACATAGATATATATATACACATAGATTATCGCGATGGGTTTTATGCTTGTTTTCTCTTTTTTTTCTCAACTGGTGATCCAGGTGATACATATATATATGTATATGCATGTGTATTTTTTGCCCCCCCCCCCTTTTTGTTGTATTTAGTATAATCCTTTATGATTATTTCTATTGTTTTTAAATCATTTATTGTATTTATCTATTGTATAAGTGTTTTTTCTCCTCTTGGGTATTTGTTACAGACAGCAAAGGAAGAATTTGGGGGGAAACATGTTTCTTTAGTGTGCATATGACAATGAATCTTTAACACACTGGGCTATTCAGCGTGATCGATCTGAAACACAGCAGCAAGTCCACCTCTGAATGGCTCAAAAAGAGGATTTGGGATGGCGTAGTCAAAGTCTGGACACAAATCAGACTGAAGCATGATTTAACCAGGCAAACCTTCCAGAGTGGGTGAACTAAAACACGTCTGTAAAGAACAGTGGGCCAAAAATTCCTGTACAGTGATGAAAAAGTCTCATTGCCAGTTATTACAAATTTCTTTTTTGCCATGAAGAGTGACAAACACATTTATTCGAGGGCAATCAGCTTTTGTTTTTGTTTTACACACGAGGTCAGGAAGGTTTGGATAACCTTTTTATCACACGCTGCATTTTGTGTTTACAAGAGTTCTTTATGTCAAATATTAAAAGTTGACCATCTGAAATATGCAAAAAGAGAAAAAATCAGAAAGGGCAATGCACACAGACACGCACTTAAGTTATAGCCTGTTTTCCCAAAACATTTAAAGAGCTCCAGAAATATTTGTATTTCATTTGTAAAAACTCCGCAGATATTGTCAGTCTTTTCTATGTGATATCATGTTTACACCATCAGTCTCTAAACTAGTCCCTTGTTTTATATGATAAAAATATACATACAATAATATATAGCAGTGAAATATATTTTTAAAAACATCAAATATGTAAATATCACCGTGATTTGCTTGTTATATTGTTCGTTTGTAGCTTTTCTTTCACCACCTGTACTTTGAATTTGTCAGGCAGAAAGAATGAACACACGATGGGAGCAGACAACGCACGCGCAGTGAGAGCAGAGAAGGGCAGCGTGAAGCGAGGCAAACGAAAAGGACAGTTAGGTAATAGGATTAGTGGAGGAAGAGCAAGGACAGGGAAGCAGGCAGAGTGAGAGGCGGGACACACCTGACTGAATCAGGGAGGGCGGCCTCTCTGCACACAGACGCGCACTCAGTGCTAGCAAGCAGGCGAAGGCAGTTAGCCAGCAGCCATGACAGACACTGGTGAGTAGCTACATCCTCTGTGTGTGTGATGCTTCTATCCTTTCTTGCTCTGTATAAAAGATAAAACGATTTGCAGCCGGCGTGGTGCACTGTGCTGTTGCGCCACTCTGCAGACCAGCAACAGTGAGTTGTTTGTGCCACCGGCCAGTAAGATTGCAGCACTGTGCAGTTCAGGAGTGGATGGACATAAACTTACCAGCTGAGCCACACAATCAAACAACCAGCCTCGTCTGTGCAGCGGCTTCTCCGGTCTGTGGCGTTGCTGACTGCTGCTCTGAGGCATGAACCATTTCTTTGCGTCCTCATTGCTCATAGATACCATCATAATACCAGTACTATCCAAAATGTACCGCGGAGTCTAACAGTGGAATAAACACAACGAGCATCACAGTGACAGGATTTAGTGGCGGACGGACTGATGGGATTGGATTTCCCAGTTGTTGCTGTTATTGTGTCCATGCATGCAGTCACGTTTGTATATAGGCACCCTGGGGACTTCTTGGCATTACATTGTGAGACTGACTAGGAAATTGTTGGCCTGTGCTTTAACACAGACGCATGCACACAGTGCCGCCCTGACTGCTCAGCTGGTTGTCCACCAATCCAAAGGTTGATGGATCGATTCCCTGGCTACTGCAGTCTGCATGTCAAAATATCCTTGGGCAAGATGCCGAGTTGCCTGCGCTTCATTCGTCTGAGTGTGTGTGGATGAACGCTATAGAAGAAAGTGGTTGTATGAATGTGTGTGCGACTGGCTGAATCAGGCTTGTAGTAACAAGTGCTCAGCACAGAAGAGTCTATAAGTGTCTTTACACATGCAGAAGGACACGAGGGCTAGATCGTGACATACAAGTGTGTGTATCCGTTTCCCAGCCCCCTCCACCCGGGCTATTTTCAATCGACTTTATAGGGATTAGCCGAGGTGATTACCATCTGCACTCTGTGTGTGCGTCTGACTGAAATGGACTGTATGTGTTTAAGAAGCTCTTTAGCTTTGTTATTGAGTTATGCTCCGTGCCTCTGGTTGAAGAAATGTGCAAGCGTGCACAGCCCTTTGCTGGCACGTGTAAACTGTTCAGACTTTATCCAACCACATCAGAAACATCAGTGTTGGACGGCTCCTGAAAAATCTGTTGTTTCCTTTATACTTATTTAAAGGTTTAAGTGAATAGGTTTAAGTTTAACCAAGACTTTGTTTATTGGTGGGTAAAAGAGGAAAAAAAGCATCATGTAAGTCGTATTATATATTGTACAAGATCAGGATTAGGAGAAATATAATTTTGTTGTGGGAGTTCAGCTGAATTTGGCAAATAGTAGATAAGATAAGATAACCTTTATTAGTCCCACACGTGGGAAATTTGTTTTGTCACAGCAGGAAGTGGACAGTGCAAAAGTTATGAGGCAAAAATTAGAATACAATAAGAATAAATACAGTACACAGCTGTACAGAATAGAATAAAATAATATACTATATACAGTAGAATAAAATAAAATAAATATACAATAAGATAAAAATAGAATACAAATACAAATACTATATACAACTGAGTAAAAATACAACGATGACAGAAAGGATTATTGCACTTAGTATTATTGCATATCAGTTAAAGTCTTTATTATGGAGTCTGACAGCAGTGGGGAGGAAAGACCTGCGAAATCTCTCCGTCCCACACCGTGGGTGCCGCAGTCTCCCACTGAAGGAGCTGCTCAGTGCTGTCACAGTCTGCTGCATGGGGTGGGAGATGTTGTCCATCAGGGATGACAGCTTAGCCGCCATTCTCCTGTCACTCACCACCTCCACTGGGTCCAGAGGGCATCCTAGAACAGAGCTGGCCCTTCGGATCAGCCTGTTCAGTCTCTTCCTGTCCCCAGCAGAGATGCTGCCGCCCCAGCAGACCACGCCATAAAAGATAGCAGAAGCCACAACAGAGTCATAGAATTTCTTCAGGAGTGGGCCCTCCACTCCAAACGACCTGAGTCTCCGCAGCAGGTACAGCCTGCTCTGCCCTTTCCTGTAGAGGGCGTCTGAGTTATGAGTCCAGTCCAGTCTATTGTTCAGATGAACACCAAGGTACCTGTAGCTGTCCACAGCCTCAATGTCCATACCTTGGATGTTCAGTGGTTGCAGTGGAGAATGCTTGTGCCTGCGGAAGTCTACCACCAGTTCCTTGGTTTTACTGGCGTTGATCTGGAGGTAGTTCAGCTGGCACCAGTCCACAAAGCTCTATAAAACACTCTAAAAATAAGGAGGATTTTCACTCCTGATATTTGATGTAATTAAACATTTGTCCCCAGTTCTTGTTAACCTTTCAGCTGATGTCTGCGAAGGTTCTCAGTCATCCAGGTCATCGTAGTCTAAGGAGCTTGGAAAGTTTCTGGACTTCTTTAAGTTGCTTGAAGACGTTTCACCTCTCATCCAAGAAGCTTCTTCAGTTCTAAGAGTCAATTGGTGGAGAGTCCCAGTCCCGTCTTCATGCAGCTGAAAGAAGTCCAGACGCTTTTCTTTCTGACCTCGTTAGACTTTCAGCTGATGATTTCTTGAAGAAGTTGTGTTGTTGGCAGGACTCTAGTGTGGTTTTTAGTGGTAGTAGCTCTGGTCTCCAGCAGCTTCTTCATATACGTTCTGCATGTGGTGGAGCATCATATCAGCTACAATACCCGTAAGAGCGCTGCCAAGACTTGTAGAAGAAAATAGGAAAAACATTTTTAATTGTCGGATAATGACGTCGGCAATCTCGCAGGCTAAAGCTCTAATGCCAGTTTGTCACTTTTTTCTCAGTTGCTGCTTAGTTGATTATTCTGCTTTTCATCGTGTCTTTTCTGCTTATAATGAAGCTTTATTAATTAGGGTAGCTTGAATGTTTATAGTCCTTATCTTTCCAGACTGTTTTCTCACTATTTTTGAATTTTATTATATATTTATATTTTAAGCCGTCAGCAGTGCAACAAGGAGCAGGATGAGCACTGCCAGAGTCCTACAAAATGACCTCCAGCAGGCCATTGGATGTAGGGCTGCTCAATTAATCGAAACCGGAGGAGTTGTACTTACATCTGATGCCATCAGCTTGTCCTCGGTCACGGTTTCATTCCACATATAGCTTTGCAAAAATTGCATAAAAAGCGCTTGCAGGAACAAAAACATAATATTCCAGAAACACGCTTTGCCGATCCGATCAGCTGTTTGTAACACTTCCCACAGTGAAATGATGCACCTGCTGTTTTCTTTGCAAATTTGCAGCATAGGATTGTTTTTTGTTTTTCCTGCAGTATATAAAAATTGCTGTATCTCCAAAATAAAACTATGAAGACACTCAAAATAAATTTCCTGTGGTGGGAAACTATTTTTTGCAACTTTATTGTATTTAAAGTTTTGAGGGATAAACCTCTTAAATTTCTCCAAGTAGAAATATATGTAAACAAAACAAAAGCGATTTTCAATTTTTTTTGTAGTTTATTGCACTTTTTTGCAATTTATGTAATTACTATGGACTTAATGCATACATATTATTAAAATATGGGCTATAACAGTTGTATTGATGTATAGCAACTTGAAATGCTCCCACAAATGGCACTACAGCATGTAAAAAAAATAATATAAGCTCTGGTGGACTTGGTTCTATAGTAGGTCTTAAAGGGTTAAATAAATATCGTCAAATAATCGTGATCTCAATTTCAGTGAAAATAATCGTGATTATCATTTTTGCCATAATTGAGCAGCCCTAATTGGATGTGAATGTCTCTGACCAAACAATCAGAAACAGACTTCATAAGTGTGGCCTAAGAGCCTGACGTCCTGTAGCGGACCCTCTGCTCACTGTGGAGCTGTATAATCTACTGTATATCATTCTGGGTTGTGAAGGATCAGTCCTTCATCCCCAACCAGGTGCAGCAGATGGCAGCCCCTCCCTGATCCCCGCTCTGTCGGAGGTTTCTTCCTGTTAAAGGAGGGGTTTTAAAACATGTCTTTCCTCACTGCCGTGCAACAGCTGGGCTTTCTGATTGTTGCATTCTTTGTATTGTTGTCATATAAAGCGTGTTGAGGTAACTGTTGTTGTGGCGCTATATAAATGAAATTAAATTCCATGCTTTCACTTTGGTTTTTGTTGTGTCTTTAAATTCAGCTCTCTGTAAGTGGACCATTTTCATTTCAGTCTAACATTTCTCCAACAAAACAAGTTTTCAGTCAAACTTCATTCTTAAGGTTCCAGAAGCCATTCGTTGGTATGTTTTTTAATTTTTCATGTCAGGTAACACGATCACTATTTATTATGTGTGTGTATGAACACCTTGCTGTGTTGTGGGTTATAAAACCAAATGTAACAAATTGTAAGCTTAGCCTGTCAACAGATACGAACAAATGTCCTGTTATAAACGGGTCGCAGCAGATGGCCCCGCCCCTCCCTTAGCCTGGTTCTGCTGGAGGTTTCTTCCTGTTAAAAGGGAGTTTTTCCTTCCCACTGTCGCCAAAGTGCTGCTCATAGGGGGTCATATGATTGTTGGGTTGGGGTTTTTTTTTTTATATTATAGTAGGGTTTACCTTACAATATAAAGCACATTGCGGTGACTGTTATTGGGATTTGACGCTGTATAAATAAAATTTAATTAAACTGAATTGAATTATAGGATCACTTAAACCTGAATGCCAAGTTAGGCATATAGGACTTAGTGCTTGGTAGCCACTAACCAGTATCTGTCTACGATTTTGTGTTGGTAACAAGGTAACCCAGCTCCTTATTTTGTCAGTGCTACAGATTTTCCAGATCTTGTTGGCAAATTTTTAGTTGCTTCGTTGTCAGAATCATAATCTTATTCAAGTTGTGTGCTATCTATAAAATGGCATGGCTCACCTTGACTTCCGTGTTACTAAAGCTAACAGCTAACTCTTGTTGTGTGTGGCAGACTCTCTGTGTGAGGCGTTAAAAGCTATTAGTGTGAGTACAGAGCTGATTGAAGAAGAGCTCAAGCCTCATTTGGATACAGTGCTGGCTGCGCTGCTAGAAAAGAGTAAGTCATATAACACACACATCCCAGGAAGTTGACTCTGTTCATCTGGACGTTTTCAGTGGGAAACATTTCTTCAGTCTCAGCTGACTCCAGGTTTCTCCAACCTTATCAACAGTACCTTTGGATAATGGCTGAAACTAGCACCACTAGGCCATGTTTAATGATCATTAACATGCAAATTGTCATAAACATTGATCAGTGGCCATGAGTACCATTCACAGAGAGTGGAGAAATGTTCATGCATGAAGACATTTTAACCCACTTTGACAAGGACTGCCTAAAGCTAGTACGTGAGTACGAGCAAACAGCACGAGAGATGGCTGACTACAGCTGCCACCAAAACAGGATTACTCCTAAAAGTCTGCAACTGAGATCTTCAGTTAAGGGCCTGCGCAACAAAAGTCCTCCAGAAGGCAAAGATCCAGCTGTTTGGTGAGCATATGAGACAAACTCATTTTACTCTGGTATCCTACCCTGCACACCACTCAGGACGTGCTGAGTTCACTGATCACATTAACTCGGTCGATAAATGGCAGGCTAGCCTTAAGTTATACTGTGAGATTTCCATCAGTAATGGGAGACATTTAAACGTTAATGAGTACCATAAACCTACACATACGGATCAGTATTTAAGGTTTGACTCTCATCATCCATTGGAGCACAAACTGGGTGTCATCAGAGAGGAATACCATCCCCACAGACAAAGCAGCCAGGGAAGCAGAAGAACATCATACCAAGAATGTGCTAAGTGAATGTGGTTATCCCAGTTTTGACAAATATCCAACTGGGAAGGCACTTGAAGAAAGCTCCAGACGACCGAGGAGAGATGGAAGCGAAAACCTTTAGTGACCCTTTATGTGTCAGGACTATTGGAACAGCTGAGACGCATTTTCACAAAACACCGGTCCACCCTGAAGATCGGGTCCTCTCGGCACAAACAGTAACATGGTGTACGCTGTTAAGCGCCAGGAGGATTTCCAGGATTTATACATCAGGGAAACCAAACGACCTCTGGCAAAGCAGATGGCACAGCACAGAAGAGCCACCTCGTCAGGCCAAGGGTACATCTGTCACCATCTTACAATGCTGTGATTGCAGCCTTTCCCCAACTCTCTGTGAATGGTACTCATGGCCACTGATCAATGTTTATTGAGTTGTGACAATTTGCATATTAAAGATCATCAAACTGACCTCACGGCTCATTGTTAGTCAGTGGTGCTAGCTTCAGTCATTATGCAAATGCACCGTTTCTAAGGCTACGTGCACACTGCATCGTTTTCTCTCTGCTTTGGTCTCCCGTCCACACTGAGACGGCGTTTTCCTCAAGGAAAACCACAGCGTTTTCAAAACGTTCTCGAAAACGCGGACTTTCTAAAATGATGACACATTTTAGTCATCTGATGCAGTCAAGTGACCAATTAAAGCTAGCGGAGGACATTATACAGCAGTTGTTTTGATTGCTCTCAATTTTGACAGCCCTGTTTAAGATTAATATCAGTTTGCATGCTCCAGATAGCTTTTCTTCAAATTCTCACTCGCTTTTGTGCATGCGCAGGACTGGAACATAAGCGTTTTGGGCCGTTTCAGTGTGGACGCACAACTCTGTGAAAACGACTGAAAACACTAGTGTGGACGCGGAGCGTTTTCAAATCTATCTGGGCTAGTGTGGACGTAGCCTACGGTTGGAAACCTGCAGTCAGCTGAGACTGAAGAAGTCCCCCAGCTGAGTGCTGAAACATTTGTCCCACTGAAAACGCTTCGTCCAGATGAACAGAATCAACTTTTTGAGTCACTTTTCAACTAACATCACATATTGCACAGTGAATTTTATCATTCTAAATGAACGGACTTTTGCATTCACAGAGAAAGATGCTGCTATCGACGTTGCCAAAAGTGGTATTCTACCCATACTGGCTCAGGCCTTACAGAGAAAAAGCAGTCTGAGCTGCCAGGTGGCTTTGGTGGTGGCAGAGATGGCCCGAGAAGGTAGAACACTTGAATACTATAAAACTGGGTGTGCTTCATAAAACAGTTTGTACAGTATAAGCTTCCTTATTTTGTCTTGTCTCATGTTCTCTTTGAAGAGCTTTAGGATTCTACAAGGTCCTTAAAACCAGTTTAACTCATGTTAAGGACCTTGTACTATGTTTATTTTTAATTACAATAATTATTAAATATCAAATAAAAATATATTGCAGTGTATAAGGAAACATTTTTATCCCTTTTAAGTAACCTAAAGCCAGTATGTGTAGGATTATACAGATGAAGCCACTTTAGAAAACGTCCAAACTGGTTTAGTTTAGTGCCACTTTCAACTTACTGGGTTGACGTTTTATCTGTACGAGGTTGTTGTGTTTTTTTTAATATTATTTCTGATATGAAAAAATGCACTTAAATTCCACACAGAGTGGCTGAAAATGTGATGCTTTTAAAAAATGCTTATGCTCCAGTGATGCGTCATGAGACTAAAACACCAGGTTGCTTCATAGCTGTTGAGTAACATATGCAACATAGCATTTAAAATATACCAGCGTTTACAAGGTTTAATGTCCTTGCATGTGTTGTAGCTGCAGTGAGGGAGCCATGCATCGAGGCAGGCCTGGTGAAGGTGTTGGTTCCCCATCTGAACAGCGATGACCAAGAAATGCTGCTGAACTCTGGCAGGGCCATCGGGCGCATCTGCTTTGACAACTGTGAGTTGGTGGGACACTGCTGGCTCCGTCAGCAGGGCGTTCTCAGTGTGCTGATGAGTCTGATTTCTTTTGAAGGCTACAGAGAGTGACAGATCTTAATTCCAAACTACATGATATTCTTGTCATGGTAACTACATCATGTTAGGCAACTACAGATCAGTCATGCGAGCTGCTTTCAGAACATGTGTCAGGTTTCCTAGATGCAGCGTTGCTTTGCATCCATTATTGCACTATGCAAGATAAAATAACTGCATGATGCCTATTTTTGTTCCTGACTGCCAAAACTGTCCAGATCCTGCCATAATCGGACTGATATAGCGTGAAATGTTATATAGGAGCTAACTTATGCTTTGAAATATGTGAGACTGTCGCCATAAAAGCAGGCACACAGTCAACAACATTACACAGGGTGCGCTGGAGCATTCAAAGCATGGTTAACTGGTGTAGAGTAAGCCTGCCAGTACACTGTCTTAGTGTACTAGTTTCTATGGAAGCCCATTTCCGCCACTAAAAAAAAAAAAAAAAAAAGGATCCATAACTCAAAATTTCGATTTATTAACTCAAAATTTTGAGAAAAGCCACTCGAAGTTTCGAGTTAGCGCTGCCAATCAGTAATCTACGTGAATGACGTCATTTCCTCGTTACCCAGAAGCTGAAGCGTCAGCTACAAATGCTACAGCTAAGCTAGGTATTACATCCAGTTGCACAGATTGCTGAGTGTTTTCAGCCTGGCTTCACAAATGATGAAATCCCTGTTATTAGCTGAATCACACGGTGTTACTATCAGCAAACGTACTCGCCAAAGCGCCAATTTGTTGGGATCCGTTTTTGAGTGCGCGCTCCTCTGCTTCCAGGTAACAAGAAAGCGACCTCATTCACGTATATTTTTGAGCTCGATAAGAACCAGTCCGTGTACCACAGAACTGCCTCTCGTTAAACGCTTAGAACTTGTCAGCATCCTGAGAAAAAGCTCTGAGATCCATTTTTTAACAAAATGATAAAAATGGATATCTAGAGGTCTCCCACTTTATTCCTTAACACTTATCTCTGTCTCCTACCTTTTTTACCTAGCATACCAGCAGGACCAGTTGGTCCAGAGTGGTGTAATCCCCAGACTCGTTTCCATAATGAGGGCGTATCCTGACAACGATCCACTGGTCAACGTCTGTCTGCTGGCCTTGTGTAACCTGGCAGACATGGGTGATTATTTACTATTTGTATTAAGTGCTGTTAGATGTAGTTTGATCGTCAGTGCTTTAGTGATTACACATGTTCTTTACAGCTACAGCATTGCCTTTAATTAATGTGCCTGCAACCAGTGTTGGGTAAGTTACTTTAAAAAAGTAATTCATTACTAATTACTTAGTCAATATTGTATTTTAAATACATATCTAATTACTGTCAGAAAAGTAACTTAATTACTAAATAAGTAATTTAACCAAATACTTCTTAGAATCCCTCTAAACCTCGAGTGGCAGACGATAGAAATTAAACTCTTTAAATAATGAATAAAGACGGAGACTCTGCAGTACGCAGCGGCAGCATCTCTTCCACAGTGTAGCCTGCAGTCGTTTTTAAGCTCACCTTCAGACGCTTTCTGCGCTGCTGAAGTAAAATCAGGTTTTGCTGCCTAGCGGGAGTTGCCGCGGTGTTATCCATGGATGATGAACAAGGATCGCTCAGAAGTGTTCGTCTATGCTCCGTGTCAGGCGCTTCAGTAGATGACTCGTGCTATGAACAGCAGCCCATAGTTTTTACATATTACTGTAATGTTCTTGTCTGCTCGTTTCAGAAAAGTGAAGAGACGGGAATATGTCCACCTCAAAAAACAGCCACTCGCTTCAGTCCGACAGCTTCCGCTGTAGAAAACGACTGTGCAGCAAACCGGTGTGAAATGACGCGCAGCTGCACTACAGCCATGTTAAAGCGGCAGAGTTTACTTCTACGTTTAGAAGACAAATGATTGAAATGAAATATTCAGCCAGTTTAATTATTTTACCATGTAACGCAAGTACATTGTAAGTAACTGTAATTGAAATACCTAAAAATGAACAGTAATCAGTTACTCTACTCTTTCAGTGGAAAAGTAACTTAATTACAGTAACGCGTTACACCCAACACTGCCTGCAACCCTAAACATGAAGCAGGGAGAGTTTTCTTTTGTGAGCAACATGCCAGAGATAAATGGCTGACACAGTAAATACTTTGTCACTCACTGTGGTAACCACATCAGGCCAGAGTAATCTTTTTAAGCCTTTTAACAGAAGAAAGCATTTAGCATTTGAGTTTAGCCATGCTTTAGCACTCGAACTACTCAACAAACTGTACGTTACAAATGTATTGGTATTAATATGGCATGCACCTGGAGAGATTTAGGGTTCAGTATCTTGCTCAGAGCACTGACCTGTTGAACTGCTCTACCTCCTTAGCCACAGTTCTTTTTAGCTACTGTGATCTAATGGGGTGACTAATTACAGCTTACACAGTTAACATATCCAGGTGTCCCAGAGGGAGGTGGGCTAATACTTCAGAAATGAAAAAAGAACGATTCACTGTGCAGCTGTTCTGCTGTGATTATGATATGTCACTAACTCTGTAGCTGATTACACACCACATGTGTTTGCAGACTCTGCAAGGGAGGCGCTGGCACAGCTGGATGTTGCAGATGTACTGATATTTCAGCTGAAACAGGCCCCTGATGCTGAACGCCGACATGTCATTTTGGAAATACTGGGCTCTCTGGGAGAGAGCGGTAAGGGCATGTTTTTAATCGATCGGTGAAACGTTCTTTTTAGTACCGTGTACTTTTCGAACCTTTTGTTGCTCCACTTCCAACTTATTTGAAACATGCTGCTTTCATCCAATTCACAATGAGCTAATACGTTTCATGAGCTACTAAAATATTAAGTCAGTGGTCTGTGTTTTAATGTCAGTTTAAATGCGTCTACGACATTTGCAGATCCGTTGTATTTGGTTTTCCTCTACTTTTTACGCAGAGCCCCAGCTTTTCTGGAGTTTGGGTTGTAGGAAGCTTGAGGGAGATGGAGAGCAGCCTTGGCATGTGCTTATTGTTTTCAATTTATTGTGAAATACATTGCCTTGACTTGAACTAAGAAAATGTGTCTCCTATTATGAAAGCACTCAAAGACTTTTACCACATGTGCTGCTCAGTAACAAAATAAAGTCCAAACATTAGTTTTCTTCATGCATATGTTCATGATTAATGGAGACAGTAGTAAAACTTGTTGGGTTGTCGTCCTGAGGCAACTGTTGTTGTGATCCGGTGCTCTATGAGTAAATTGAAATGAATTGTTCTGTGCCACCAGATACTCTGAAACTACAGTTTGCAGAGTCAGGAGTCCCAGAAGCTTTATCCGAGATGATTCGGAGTCTGCAGGGAGGGTCTGACCCACATGACCTCTGCAGCATCAAGATTGCCTCCAACCTAATGGTGTCCCTGCTTTTAGGGGGTACGTAATGCATAGCAACAACATTGTCTTAGTGTAGGTTTGAAAGGAAGAAGTGGTCAGATGACAAACAGGAAGACAAAGTGCTGAAATTGCACTGCGCTGGGATCCACTCACCAAGACGCTCGCATAATGCAGAGCTCCTGAGCAAAACCTCTGTTCCCCCTGGCTTTGCCTCTCATTGGGCATCTACTGTCTGTAAGTAGTTTCCCTTAGTGTTGAGAGGTTTCTTTTTATTTCAATGACATCTAAGAGTGGCATTGCTAAACAGGGCAGAAGCTATGCAAGCATGGTGACAGAGACCACGCTGAAAGTTCTAACAGCCTGGAGTATTGCATCGAATGCTTTTGTTGAACTTTGTCCCAACTCAGTAGTGTGCTTAAACAACTGCAGGAGGACGTCTGTGCTGTGAAAACGTCACAAGTTCAGTTAACACAGATATTGCCGACAGAAATGAGAGACTGGAAGAGGCTGATCGTCGCATTATGAACAGCTGGCTAGAAGCTAAAGACATCGAAGAGGCGTGACCAGCTAGAAAGAGCAGCAGTGTCTTAATCTGTGATTGTTAGAGTGAAGTAACGTGTAGAAGGTGCAAAACTGTACAGACCATATCAAACCTCTGATAGCACAGGTGGTGTACATACAGGTCCACAAGTATTTGGACGGAGACAACGTTTTTCTCAATGTTGTTCTGCACGTTATCACAGTGAAACGAAACGACTCAGATGTAGCTGAAGTGCAGAATTTCAGCTTTAATTCAGTTGAACAAAAAGCATTTTTGACACAATCCCTTTATTTCAGGGGCTCAAAAGTAATTGGACAAATTAAATAGCTGAAAATAAAAAAATCGTTTCTAACGCTTGATTAAAACCCGTTTGCTGGCAGTGGCAGCCTGCAGCCTTGAACTCATGGACATCACCGGCTTTCCTCCTTTTGAATGCGCCTCCAGGACTTTACTGCAGCGACGTTCAGTTGCTGTTTCTTTGTGGAATCGTCACCATGGACAATGATTCTGCGATCATCCACCACTGTTGTCTTCTTTGGACCTGCAGGTGTTTTTGCGTCGTTGTGTTCACCTGTGATTTCTTTCTACCAAACTGTAGGTTTTGCCAATATTGTACCAATTTCTCAGGTGTTTGTTTTCTGTTTTCGCAGTTTAAGGAGGCTTGTGTCACCTGCATGGAGAGCTCCTCTAACTGCATGTTGTCTGTTCGTAGCAAAATCTTCCAAATGCAAGCACCACCTCAAGTCAACTCCAAACCTGCTTAGTTGATAATGAAACAACAAAGGAAATGTCCACACATGGCATTGAAATAGGCTTTGACTCAAGTGTCCCATTGTTTTTGGTCATTTGCCAGAGTGGCAAATGTTAAAGAGCTGAAATTCTAAAGAGTTCATCCAATTTAAAGGCTGATACCTTCAAATAAAAGCTGAGAGTCTTCACAACATGAATATGTTTAGGTACACAGGGAAAAAACAAACTTGTGTCAGTGTCCAAATATATATATAGACCTAACTCTGCCTATTCTGGATAATGATCATCAGCTGAGACCTCTCTGTAAATGATCCAGACACTTTTCTTTCGTTTGGCACCGACGTCTTTGCAGCTGACTCCTCACTGCTGTCTCAGGTCACTAAAAAGGGAAGGAGACCTCACTAGAACCACATCTCCACCTGCTCCATCACCCTCCCTGCCGCTGCCCCTTGAGCCGAAGACCACACCACTGCCACACTATCGTTGGAATATTCCAGACATTCCTGGAATGTGAGCGAGTGATGATGCAGTGAAGGAGAAACATAAAACAGAGGTGCAGGGCATGGAAAAAGAATGTGAGATTATTAAAGCACGTAGAAAGTTGCAGACAAAGAATATTTGGCTCACGCTGACCTTCCCTGCCATGCTGTGACTCCGTTCTTGTAGTTAGAAGATGAGGTTTGATGACCACATAGCACTGGATTTCATCACAGTGAGGGGTGTGTTGTTTGTTGGTGGGTTTGACAGGTTGTTTACTCAAGGGGAGGGGTATTTTGGTATTTTGTGGTTACTTCTGAAAACGTTTGTTCCTGGGCAAAAGTCAGAGGTATGTTAAAGAGTGGAAGCACAAAAGAAAGGATACCATATGAACATATATTATCCTGTATTAATAATATAGGGACAGAGTAATTTTAATGGCATAGCAGGGGTGCTAATAATTCCATTAAGCTTAAGAGATGTTTGCTTTATCTCAAATCACATTGGGCAGATGCAGCATTTATACAAGAAACATCTATGATTGGTTCAGAAACAGCTACATTTAGCAAGTATTTAGTGGCTCATTTAATAGTAAAAAACGGGGAGTGCCAAAATTGGATTTTGTTTCACTCAAAGAGCACGGAGGTAGAACATATGTCTGATCATCTGGCTAAAACTGATTACAGGCACACTTGAATCACTGGTGACGAGGACTAATAACCGTCAGGGAAAGATGCATTTTTCTCTCTGATTGTCCAGTAAATACGTTCATTGTGTCGAGTTACAAAACAAAAATTAGTAAATAAAAGAAACGCACTGCACTTGTCACTGAATGTGTTGTGACCAATCGAATATGTAATCTCTGGTGTTGGTGCACTAATGTGTTGATTTACCTAATGTCACTGCTGCATGTGAATCTAAATCATGTGATTTTGTCACGTTGCTTTTTCAGTTATTTTCAAAAGACTGTTTGTGTGTCAGATGAGTCCATGCAGAAGTGTTTTGGTGAAGGATCAGGTCTGGTGTACCAGGATGTTCTGTCATGGCTCCAGAGCTCCAACACCCAACTGCAGCTATCGGGAGCGCTGGCCATCGCCAACTTCGCCAGGAATGGTGAGATGTTTGTCAAAAGGACACACTACATGGTCTTTTTGACTGTTTTTGACTGAGTCTGGAGAGACAGTTCCACTCTTTACAGCTCTCTAAACTTTTTTTAAGATAACTTAAGATTTATTTTTCTTGGTTTTCACCCATTTTTTTCCGGGTGAAACATCTCAAAAACCCACTTTCTTCTACTTCCTCAGCAGAAAGGTTCCATCAGACTATCTGTCCAGACAGTTTACAGTTTATACATTAAATTCGAAATGGACGTTTTTTTAAATCTGATGTTTTAAACAGATCAAAACACGATATAGTCATTCTCATTCATTAACAGTTTCTTTAACATACTGTTTTTTGTGTTCAGTGGTATTTAGTGTTATCACGTGATGTTTTTCTGGGGTGAAATGCTCGTACAGCAGCGGTCCCCAACCTTTTGTGCGCCACGGACCGGTTTATGTCCGACAATATTTTCACAAACCAGCTTTTAAGGTGTCGCAAATAAATGCAACAAAATAAAACCAGTACCGGTACCAAAAGAAAGAAAATGTATTTATAACACACGGGAAAAGACCCAGGGAAACCACCAATCTCACACCTGAGCCCCAGCTCTCGCGGCCCAGAACCACACAGCTCCAGTCTCTGTCCCGGGAGTTGGGGACCGCTGTTGTAGAGCACACATCTCTAATCACCCCAAAAACAACAATTGGCTGCACAAGTTGGAATTTACTTTGAATTTTTTCTAATCCACGTGGAGTCAAAGTATACTAAAATACTCAATTATACCCTAATATTTGGTTTTATATCCCTTTACATATTGTACCTCGGCCAGATGCTTTTGGTAGCCATCGACAAGCTTCTGGCATAATGCTGGATGGATATTTGACCAATCGTCTTGGCAGAATTGATAGTTTACTCAAATTGGTTGGTTTCCTTGGATGAATCCAGATTTGAAATGTATTCCACAAATTTTCAACAAGTCTGAGTTTGGGGCTGTTAGCCTGCTTTATCTTTTCCTAATCCAGTCGTGTTATGTGTTTGGGATCATTGTCCCTTTGGAACACCCGGCTGTGTCCAACTTTCTGTCTTGCTGCTGATCTGAGATGAAGTTACAGAATTGGAGGTAGTCCTCTTTCTTCATTATTCCATCCAGCTTGTACCACTACCACTGGCAGCAAAACAGCCCAAGACCATAACGCTGCCAGCACCATGGTGGATTGCTGGTACGGTGTTCTTAGGTTTTGTTGATCTGTGGAACCAGCACCCCACTACAGGAAGTCTGGATCAGCGCTCTGTTTAAAAAGTCCAGTCTCTGATCCTATGAGCATTACCCAGCAGGCAGTGCAGAGCTTGGATGGAGCCGGTGAGTGAGGACGCTGTTCTAACTGCCTCTAGCCTCCAGGGAAAAAAAGCAAGACCCGAGTAGCTTTGCAGAGCCACTCCTACCAGCCATACCTGCTGCGGCAGCGCTTTTGGAAGAGGACGAGGTTTAAATCAGTGGCTTGGAAAGCTGCCCAAAGATCTGTTTCTTTAAAATGGGCAAAACACTACGTGTATAAAGGCTAATTTACACTACTGCTGTGCAGAAATGATAAGAGTTATGTGTGGAGGAGTAAAGCTGAGCTTTCCAAACCGTGAAGAAAGGTGGGATTGAAGTGCCCCCAGCTTACCTCTCATTACATCTGAGAGTGGGTGAAAGGTTTTATGTTTACAGTGATGCAAAGTGCTGTAACAGAGTTTCTTTATGCGCGTTTGCAAAAAGTAAATCATATTAATTTTGTGCATCCTCTTTTTAACCCTTTGTGAAACCATAAAGGTAAAAATCTGAGTATTAAATCCACATTAATACAAATAGTTCTTACTTTTTTACCCACTCTCAGATGTGATGAGAGATAAGGTAGACTTCAGTCTTTTTCAGGCCCACATCCAGTTTGAAAGGCTCGCCGTTACTCCTCCAAGCATGCCTCTTAACATTTTAGCTCAATCTTTGTGTCTTCTGACCATAAACCTTTTCTCCAGAAGGCATTTGGCTCATCCATGAGGGCAGCAGCAACTTTCAGTCACGGTTGAAGGTGTCGGTTGTGGAGCAAGGTTGGGTTTCTTTCTTTGTCAGCCCCCCCCCAGACAATGTAAAAATTGCATCATTGTGGACAGTGTGGGTCTCAGACATGGACAAAGTGGGGACATATCAGAATAAATTGTTTGAAGTGGTGATTCAGAAATCTGTAGTTGTACAGAAATGGCCCCAGGAGAACTTCCCAGGTTGTGTAAATCTGCAGTTCTTCATAGATCTTCACTCTGGTCCAGTAGCTTGTGTATTGGTCTGCCCAGTGAGTACTGTCACACAAGTTGTCAGAGTTTTACCCCTCATACTGCTGGATAAACAGCTCACTCAGGGACGAGGTCACACAGAGCTCAGGTTTTCACTCGCGAGGGGGAAGCAGTTGTCTCCAACCCACTTCAACTTGCTTTCCCCCTGCAGGTTGTTTTTATTGCTTACACACATGAACATTCATAAAGCATGTTGCTGTATTACCTATGAGAAATTACTATAACTGGTTACAAAGTGTGATTGTGCTGTGCAAGCATGGTTATACAATGTGTGGTTATATGATGGGAGTGCAGCTCTGCCAGGTTGTTGTTGGTAGAATCTGTTCTTCTCAAGGCTGCTTGTTGCCCTTATCAATGTCGTGCACGTAGTCATGTGCGTGGGTTACCTCGATAGCAAACAGAAGCATTCTAGCTTTCTAAATGGCAACCTACAGCACATACATTAAACCTAACACAAGTCCTGCTGGCACAGACAAACTAGCAGTTAGTCAGTTATTCTACTGCACGAGTCATGTATTTGAGACTGTGTGTATAATTAATAAAAAATAATAACAAAATTAAAACTTGTGCACCAATTCTTGCTTTACACAGTAGAGAGAAAAGCCCCAAATGACCTTCATGTTAATGTTTGTTTGTTTTTAAGTAGTTGGGTTTTGAGGACTGTTGTTTTTCTGTCAGACAGTAACTGTGTGAAGATGCTGGACCTCGGAGTGGTTCCTCACATCCTGACATTGTTGGAGCAGCACGTAGATGAAGGAGACGTATCTGTTCAACATGCTGGACTAAGCGCACTCAGAAACCTTGCCATTCCGGGTACAGGCTTCCACTGCCTAAGCAATCAAAAGAAACAAGTTCAAGTACATTTCATAACCTAAAATGATCCTGAATGTGTTTTGTCCTTAAAATCAATGTGAATTGATAAAGTAAAAGTGAAACGCTGAGAAAGTCGATAATATGACGTGTGTGTTCCCAGCCACCAACAAAGTGCGAATGCTGGAGGACGGGGTGACTGACAGAATAAAGACGCTGCTGCGCTCGGACATGCCCCCAGTTCAGTTCAAACTGCTGGGCACTCTGCGTATGATGGTGGACGGACACGGTGAGCAAAATGCTTCAGTTTGGAAGCAACAATTGTTTAGTTTTGATGACATGTGATAACTTTGATTCTTCCCTTTGGTAGAAGACCTCTTATTGACCGTTGGGCACCAAACAGCATACAAACACACTGCTTTCCTGCAAAAATAAACTATGGGGCTAATGTATCAGCAGATCCAGTGAAACACCTGTCCATGTGGTGTAAGGTCTGAAGGGGATTGGGATAATGAGTGCTCTGGGTTTCTGTATGGGACACATTCTGTAGTCGTTACCAGATTTTCACACGTCTGAAACAGAAAGCCCGTTTAAAGAAATTAAATGAAAATATGAAATGAAAGTATGGAAACTTCCATCCAGGCCGAAAATTTGAAGGTATCAACGAGGCCATCGTCAACACAACGCTGAACAACAAAGGAAAAGCACCTCGCCAAGTCAAACACCTGACGTTAATTCAACAGAAATGTTGTGCGAGGATCAAAATTACATTTCACATGAGGAGACCCACCAAAAGTTCATGCTTCACTCCGATTAATGTAATACACAGTACATCTTTTCCCCCATGTACAGCTGGCAGTCTTTATTAACCGTTGTCAAAACAAACGTCTTCTACCCTGTGCTGCACTGTGTGTCAGAGGAAGCTGCGTTAGTGCTGGGGAGAGATGCTGACCTACTCGATCGGATCATGGAGTGGTGCGAAGCCAAGGATCATGCAGGAGTCAGAGGAGAAGCCAGTCGCCTGCTGGCTGCTCTCATCAGACATAGTCAGAACTCTGTGAGTCAGATTCTTCTACTGGGAATGTTTCTCTGCTTAAGTTCTAATTTGTTTGTGTTGGTTATCGAACTCGCTTTGTCGGATGTTCACTTATTATCTTATGATCGGCTGATTCTCTCTCTTTAACAGGAAGTTGTCCGTGAGGTAGCCAGAGCCAATGGAATTCGGCATCTTATTTCTATGGCATCAAGTGAACATGTCATCATGCAGAATGAAGCCCTGGTTGCCCTGGCAATTGCAAGTGCCATTGACATTGGTAAAGCAATTTCAAGTTCTTCGGCTGAATTTATCAGACATGTCAGAGTGTAGTTCTAGTGAGATCTCTCAAGTTGGGCCTGAGATTTCTGATGGCCCAAGAAGCTCTGCAGCGCTTCTAAATCCTAGAAGGATCCAAAGTGTTACTACGAAGGGTTCTCCAGGTAGGAATGAGCAATTACTCTGGAATATATTTGGGAACGTTCCAACACTGGCTTTGGTTAAAAAGTACAAACTATCAGACACTAGTTTGGTCTCGTCTGGAAGTGACTTTGAATTATTTGGTGTATCAAAGGAAGAGCCTGGCACTCCATTAGCAGTGTTGGGAAGGTTACTTTTAAAATGTATTCCACTACAGATTACAGATTACATGCCCCAAAATGTATTCTGTAACGTATTCCGTTACGTTACTCAATGACAGTAACGTATTCTGAATACTTTGGATTACTTAATATATTATCATGCTGTTTACAACTGCATGAATGTACGATTGCTGTGATTTATTACTGTTACTGAAGGTCCGCGGCTCCGAACCGTAGTAAAGGCTAATGGCTGGCTAATACGTCGGGTTCGTAGCTGAAAACTAGCTTTACTTTGTTGTCTGGGTCAAGTTTGAGACAGAGAGAGGCGTTGAAAGGCTGCTTATTGTTTCAGAGGAAAACAGGAACACGGTGTACAGTTGAGTCTTAACAGCTTACTCACAGCTGGGCTCGTCAGGCTCTCTTCTTGGCTGCAGTGGTTGTTATCATATTTACATGCTTCCAGCTCCCGTTTCTGCTCGGTGACAGCTCGTACCTTTTTCTCCCTCCTCGCTCACAGACACATAACGGTATGGCGGTCCATTCTGCCTGCAGCACGGACTACACGGCCCATCAGGCTGCATGCTTTAGGGCGATGCCTGTAGCATTCGGCCTATTAGCTTAGCACAACAACAACAACAAAAAGGCGCTCTCTCACCCAGGAAACACACAGACGCAGAGAGCGTGTGTGTCACCCTGTAACCATGGCAACCATAACGCTGCCGCCTGGAACAACAGAACAAACAAAACCCAAACAGTCCTGAAACAGGAAAGTACCGCCGTGGAATCCATTTATTTCAACAAAGTAACTGTATTCTAAATACCACCTTTTAAACAGTAACTGTAACAGTAATATTTTGTATTTTAAATACTTAACATGTATTCTGTTACTCCCCAACACTGTCTGTTAGTGTTCACAACACGTTGTAATTTGGTGTCTGTGGAAGTGAGTGACGTGTAGAGTATCACAGTAGTTTGGGCTCACGTAAATATGTTGTACATAGAATGACCTCATGATTGAAACGTCAAAACACTACCAGCCCATGCACACCCACCCGGGATTTAAAAATATTTTACCATAACCAGCAGGTTGTATGTTACACGCACACAGGTCCTCCACCAGATTCCCAGGACTGAGGATTCCTCTGGACAGGGTCTCGGAACTCATTCTTGGGATTTGTTGGAGCCACTCACCCAGTTTGTCCGTCTGTACCTGGACATCCCACAGTATCTTAGCTTGGTATTCAAAACCAGGGGGCGTCTCCCAGTGTGACCTGAGGATCTCCAGGCCATATTCAGCACAGATGTTTCTGTACACGATGGTTATGGCGTTCCATGTATGCCCTGCCTGCTAGCATCTTGCACCCTGCTGTTATGTGCTGGATTGTCACAGGGGCACCTTTACACTGGGGTCTTGCCTGGTGTGATAGACCCCAGCCTCTGTGGATCTAGTGCTCAGGGCTTGTTCCTGTGCTGCTATGATTAGTGCCTCTGTGCTGTTTTTCAAACCATATTTTGCTGGCTTCTAAAGTTTTTTGCTGTTGAAACTGTAATTTCTGCTTGACATCCTTTACAAGGTTAACGGTGCAACCACTGCTAATCAACACACCATGAAGGCTCCCGACTTGGTTTGTCTTCTACCAAGGCTGACTTTGTTTTTAGCCTGTCTGTCAGTTTTTTCTGTCCTCAAGCCTCGGCTGTCTGTGGTCTCCCACCATACTCAGTCTTCTGTGGGGCCGTCTGCTCCAGAGCAGGATGATGCTTTAGCGTCCGTGGCTACTGGATGCCCCTCGCTCAGCCCAACGATAATGGGGACCGTTTGGACAATGAAGATGGGATGGCTGCCCAACAGGGATGCTGGTCCAATTTCATTCCTCAACATGCTCCTCCTTCTCATGGCCTGCTCAGCACTGGATTGGCTGTCGCAGCTGTGTCACCCCCGGACTTTCTCGCCACTTCAACACTCCTCCAGGCTGCCTGGCTCCAGCACAGACGCCCTAGCCTTCTCTCTCCTCCAGGCTGTAGCAGACGCATGGCGGACCTGACCACTACACTTTTAAACACTGTTCTTTATTCTCAGTTGTTGTTTCTTTTGCACTCGGCTGCAGCTTTTCAGCTGCCAGCCACACATACACAACAACAACTACCCAGTACAGACTTGAATGCAGAGGAGGCGTGACGAGCTGCTGCAGCTCCAGTGTGTCAGCCTCCCTGCAGTGGCGCCACAGACCTGCCACGCAGGCCGTTTTCCTCTGCCAGGTACTACTACTATTGTCGCTGCTGCCACAGCTGCATCTTGGCGCTCACATGCGGTCATGCCCCTGCTCATCATCGACCACCTCCTCAAGGCCGAGTCTACCCACGTCTATGGCTCAACACTTGGCGATGCTCGGTGGCCGTACCGTTTGCTCTCCTGGGGCCTGTGTGAAGGATATTACTCTGACTGCTCTTCAGCTGTTGACCACCTGCACATTTGGTTCAAGGGTGCTGCAGGAATGAAAACATTGCCTATGTGGACAATTTCACATCATTCCTCAAACGCCCGGAACTATTTAAACAGCTTGTTGTATATTGTAATCTATCAACTCCCAAATCCTGCAATAATTTCTTAAATGAATTCTTTTATCTGTTATTGTTCATTTTGGTAAAAGCATCTTGGTAGCTGACTTTACATATTCATGGTGCCTCTAACTGCACTACCACAGAATTTCTTAACATTGCAAAGGCGTTTAATTTAGTGCAACATGTGGTGGCCACACACTGGACACAGGTTTTACTTTTGGCTTCTCTATAAGCACTTTGTACACGTCTGATCACAAATGCATAATGTTTGACACCGTTGTGCGTCCAGTGTTGTCTTCCCAGAGAAAAACGATTACACCTTGCATCTTTAATGAGCACTCAGCAGCTCAGTTTTCTGCTCTCTGACCTTACTGCATCAACAACTACCTTTTCAGATATCAGTGACTTAATGAATTGGTTGAATCATGTATGCTCACCAATTCTGCATCATGTTAAAATTCAGATTAGTCCAAGTTACAAATTCTTCCCGCTGGATCAGTGATCATATCCGCCACCAAAGAGAAAATCTGAATGCAAGTGGAAAAAGACTCCTCTCCATGTTAACTATCTCCTTATGATGCAGTTATTAGTCACGCTCAACCAACTCAGCTTAGGCCACGTACACGGGGGTATTTCTGAAAATGGAGATTTTCAGTTTTAAATTTTTTTAAATCCTGTCCACACGTGCAGTTTTGAAAAAACATCTCCATCCACGTGTAAACGCTAAAACCAAAGTCAAATGCTCATGCCAGATCCTGACTGTGTGAAATGTTGGCCAATCAGAAGTCTAGAAGCCCGGGAGGGATCCTGGCTCCCCCTTAGAGAGAGAGGTGCCACTGAGCGCTGGTTCCACAGATCAGCACACAATACAACACAATAATGACCTGTTGCAATTTAGCAAAACACAAGATGTTTGATGTCAATACTGAACAGAGATGATGTCCATCAAAGAATATATGTTTACCTATTTTTGCATGTCTGTAAACAATGCAGAGTCTATGAAGGATCCATTTGGGGAGGCAGACCTGTTACCCATGCTGAAGAAGATGTTGGAGGATCCTGTGGGAGCGGTCGAGGTCAAGTTCAGTGCTTTAGGTCTCATTTGCAGCCTGGCTAACTCCAGTATGTGTCTGATTTTAAAGCAACACATAGAAATTGCAGTAATTCTGTCCAGTGGATGTAGAATGATAAAGCTGTGATGTCAGTGTCAAAGGAGCCACAAAAATGCAGCAAGCAAACCTCGTGTGCACCTTTTAGCTTACAGCTCAGTGTCACAGAGATTAAATCCCCACAGGCAGGTTACAGGAAGTATGAAATATGGAGGCCCGAAGAAAACAATAAAATCCAAGATTCAGCAGCACTGAGTCCTGTTGCTCTTAAATCTACGTTCAGCTGTTTAGCAGGAGCGCGGCGGGTGCTGCTCGCTCAGATTTGAAGTTTAATTTTTCACGCAGAGTGCACGGTCGTACTCTCTCCATCACTCCATGTTATCCATTGTTGATCTGCACACGTCTGTTGCTGCCACAGACGCCGCACGCTCGCCACTGTCATGAGACGCTCTCACAAACACAATCACGGTTTAGTAACGCAGCGTGCTTACGAGAAAGTAACAGGAATATAATTACTTTTTTACAATACTGATTCTTTACTTCACTCATTACGTGAAAAAAGTAATTGGATTACAGTAACACGTTACTTGTGTTACTGCTCAACCGCTGCTCAGGAGACACTGAGCAGCATTCACCCAGGAAGCACAGGAAACCAGAGCTAGGAGATATAAAGCTATGTGGGACAACAATGGACAAGGGGAGACTGAGACAGTGTAACCAGAGAGGAAATGTAGTTGAAGACAAAGAGAAAGTAATTATAAACACAAAGTCGTGATTAATTTAACAGAAGACTTAAATAACAAGACTAGAAAATAGACCATGAAGTCCTAATGAAGACGACACCCTTCAACCCCGGGGACCATGACAACGTCACAAGTGTCACTCAGCTCTGTGTTTCAGATAGCGATGTTAATAGTAACAGGACACGAAGGCCATTCAAAATGGTTATTAGATATTCGGTTTTCTGAATTTCCAGTAGTAGTAGTGTGTTTACATTGGTGCCAATTTGGTGCAAAGTTGTCTTGGTTGCACAGCCTAAATGTGTTTCTCAGCCCTGAATGTTTGTGTAGCTACCTCGTGTACTTAAATGGTGGAAAAAATAAAGAGAATTTAAAAAGCAGAATTTTCATGCATCCTCAGCTATTTCAAAGACTTTTTCATAGAACGGCAGCATTATTGTAGAAAAATGGCTGATTCTTAGGGAGCCAGGTTTGAGCGTGTCACAGGTGACTCAGGTGTGTAATGTATTCAAACCAAGCTCTAAAGAACACAAAGTCTACTGTACACCCAATGATGATCAGAGAATATGCTACAGTGCATCTGCATAATTTGATCTGTTTCAATCAACCTCTTACTTTTCTCTTTTCTTTCTGTTCTTGTGTGCTCTAGGTGTCATGAAGGAGGCGTTGAACTCTGTGAATATGAAGGAAAGCATCAGTAAACTCACAGATCATAGCAGCAGTAAACTTGCCTCACAGGCCAGCTCCATACTGACCCTCCTGGGTGACACCAGCTAAACCAGCATCCTGCAGCAACAGGGACCCATCAGCTGTATGGATTTATCGAGCTTATTCAGTGGCATACTTAAACGACAGATATTTTACTGCACAAATATTGCAAAGTATTGAACTGGCTTCTTGTCACCTGTTCTGTAAAAATGAAGGGCCCTTTTTAGTCCCGGTGTGTGCATGTGTGGCAGGCAACAGATTATAGGAGTATTTGAGTTACGTGTTTGATTTGCTCAACATTATCTTTACACTGCACAATTCAGACATCATCTAAGCTCATTTATTTAGGTTTTCCTGTGAGTAGTAATGAGACATTTATGAATCAGATGGTCTGCAATGAGTATGTATGTGGGGCTCAAAGGTAACGACTGAATGAATAGCCACAGAAAAAGTATCCAGTCTCAGGCAGTCATGTACCATGACTAGCAACATCGTAGACATTTCACAAAGATAGCAAAAAGAAAGGGTAAGAGGGCAGGTGAAGTTAACTGGAGAACACATGTTAGGTGCACCGAGTTCTACAGTATTCTGGACCAAAGGGGATGGATGGAGAAATTTACTAAGAGCCACCTGATGGAGGCGCATGTGCACAGGTGTGGAGGGCACACAAAAGTTACGAATAAAACCTCAGTGCTAATATCTGTAACTCCAGTACCCGGTCATTGGCAAAGATTTTATTATAATATATGTTCATGTTATATAAAGTGTTATTGAATATCACTGAATGCGAGCACCACAGTGGTGCAGTGGAAGCTCTTTCTGCGTTGCGATTCCAAGCTTGTAATCTAATCCAAGTGCTGCACAGGAAGTAGGATGTCAGTAAACGGTACCAATAATTTAAGAACAATTGAAATACTCGGGGGGGCACTCTGGACAGGACCCCAGCCTGACGCAGAGATAAGTAATAATGTAGAAATGATCATATTAAATGCACTGGGGAAAATGGGACAAACTGGAACTAGTCTGAAGCCGAGAAAGCTGATGAGAAGAGGAATGTGTTTGGGTGAACACAAACCAAGCATTTATAATTCTCAAAATTAATGTTCTAATTACAAGAAAAAGATGAAGAGCTGCCAACAGTGCTGGTTAGGGCGGGAACATGCTCAGACTGAGGAAATGCACCAGTGAGTATTTGTGCTATTGAGGCCTTGACAGCCTCCTGATATTTGTTAAAATTTCATAAGACACTGCAAGCTCTCCTGCACTGAGTGCCCTTCATTTAAGGCGGTATGACCTCAAAGGACAGCAGTGCAGACAGCGTTAAACCGATGTAGAGATAGAGCCTCACACTTCAGCACATATTCTGCAAATGGGCCAAGCCAGCTGATCACAAACGAGAGAGTGCAGCATGGTCACGACTCTTACTTCAGCAACCTTGATTTTAAAAGGCTGGCACGTGGTGAGAGAAAGTAGCATCCTCAGCGTTGCATGTACACACAGATTTGACAAGTAAAAGAACCAAATGAAGCGTCTCAGCTCGTATGACCGACGCACGTGCTGGTGAGCCGATACTAACGGGGAACAATCATAAAATCACCAAGAATGAAAATATTAGTCAGGTAAACGTTTCAGTGAGAAAGCCAAGAAAACCTTTGCTGGGCTCTAGCAGCTTGTGAACAGGGAATGGTAATTCCTCAACAGGTTGACCAGCCAGCTTTGCAAAGTATGGAGAGAGAACCCTGCTGTTAGATAACTGCCACTTCTAATGTGGCCATCGGTCATGTGCGTAGTTGTCTGTCTCTGTGTGACTGGTGACCTGTTCAGGGTGTACCCCGCTTCTCAACATATGTGGGATAAGCTCACACCCACCACGGCCCTAAATCGGATAAGCATTAGAAAATGGATGGATCGGATGTTATTGAATATGCAGCCAGAATAGTTCACCAAACAAACGGACCTTTTTCTCAATATCCCGAAGGTGAAGAAGTGACGTGTTTGCATCACTGATTAAAAGAAACTTTGACGATATCAAGGAACTTGTTTTGTCATGCCGGTGATATGAAGTGTGATGATTCTGAAGCAATATTGTTTGACCTAAAGTAGTTTTATTTTAATTACTCCAGTAACAAAACGACCTACTGGATAAGATTGTGATGTACAAGTGAATGTGCAATGCTCTGGTTTGTCTGTATTGTGGCAGCTGAGGTGATGTTTCTATTTATTTTCTGATAGGTTGAACCTGTTGAAGATGACACAGTCTACGTTTTATAATAAGCCTGTCAGCTACTATCAAACCAGGCTGTCTGTAAATCACCAGTGATATTCTGATGAGTGGACTCAAACATTAAAACTTGCTTTATGGCATATACTCTTCCAATAAGAACTGCAACAGATGTGAAGGATGAACATACAAATAACAGCAACAAAGGAAGAGCCTGAGAACAGCCTCTGGCTATGAGGTGTGTGTTTCTGAAAGATCACATTTATCTTCTCAATAGTTTTATTTATATAGCACCAGCTGAGAGTTGCCTCAAGGCGCTTTACATCTTAAGTTAAAGACCCAGATGAACATGTCTTGATGCATGCGCAATCATCGAAGTAAGGATAGTTGACTGTGTTCCTCTGGACGTAGCACTTTTTGTTAGTCGGAGAAACTCATCCAGGTGACGTCTTCAGTCTCGGCTGACTGCAGGTTTCCCCGATAAAAATAAACAGTAACATTTGTGTAATGACTGAAACCAGCACCACTGATGAACAATGGCTGTGAGGTCAGTTTCTCGATCATTGATCAACAACCACTCATCGACGACCACCATTCACAGAGAGTTGGGGAATGTCTGCAATCACAGCATTGTAAGATGGTGACAGATGTCTGTGAAGGTTCTCAGGTCATCCAGGCTATCGTAGTCTAGGGCGCTTGGGAAGAAAAACGTCTGGACTTCTTTAAGTTTCTTGAGGATGAAGTCCAGATGCTTTTCTTTCCAAGCTCCTTATAGGGACACATGTACCCTTGATGGTCTTTCCCTTTTCACATAAATGTCCTCCTTGATTCCTCGCTCAAACCAGCGCTCCTCCCTGTCCACGGTCCTCGTGGTCTTTGATGACCATGGCAAAACTATACCAGGACATTTGATGTTGGTTTTTCTTTGAATTTTGTTTGTGTTATGTCACAGTGCTGGCTGAAGCACTTAACATATTTAGGATTGCAGTCATGTTGTCTGACTTATAGAAAAGCTCTACGATTGAAGACTTCCTAGTGGTCATGTCATGTTTTTGTAACTAGAAAAATTAGAATAGAAAAAGGTAGCATAAAGACTTTCCCAGAGCACGATGGGAACGTCCGATCAGCAACACAGCTCATGCTAATACCGCTCAGTGTTACAGAAACATTTATATATAGTTAAATAAAAGATCCAAATCATTTTATTTCAAATGGATGCATTTGTAGAATAAAAAAAATACACAACAAATGAACTGCCTGTTGGACAAAGTCACTGTTCTGCATTCTTGTAGGGTCTACCTTACAATATAAAGTACCTTGAGGCGACTGTTGTTGTGATTTGGCGCTGTCTAAATGAATTTACTCTCATCCATGTTTTGAATTTTACAGATTACTCAACAGACTAATGGGGCTCGAGCATAACAGCAATATCCATACCTACAATCCATTTTAAAGGAAGCACAATGTGAAGAAGATATTCAATACACTGCACTTTTTAACATTTGTATATAAACTAAACATTCTTATGTAGTAGCAACACTTTTTCAGTGTGCATCTGTAGCTGGGTCATTTTGGGGAGTGGCTAGCATGTGTGTTCTGTACAACATAAAGTGAATAATGTGCTGATGGGCGTGAAGCACACTTTTGCTGTGATGTTTAATGTAATATTTGTGTGAAAGTATGTTCTGGATGTAACTACAAATCACTCAACATGCGTGAACAGATCTGTATTTATAGGGAGGGCATTTTTTTGGCCTTTTAGAAGCTTTGTTCTAGAGTGAAAACAATAAAGTTATACAGTGTCTTCCTCTATTTTGTTTCTACGGTGTCATTTTTTTCAGTCATGTTATGGGTTTTAGGCAAAACAACAACAACAACACACAACAAAATCTGAAATCTAAGAAAATATCAGAAACTGAACAGAAACAACTCTTTGGCTGGTGTGAAATGACCTGTGTTTCTGAAGAGGCCAGAGCATGATACACACTGAACATACAGCTGAAGCTCTGCTGACGGATCTATACATACGCTGCTTTCATCTATGGCTAAGCACGTTTTCTGACATTCCAACATTCAATTCAATTTTATTTATAAAGCACCAAGTCACAGCAACAGCTGACTCAAGGCGCTTCACATTCCAATGGTTGCATCCTGAGAAACTGAGGGTTCATTATCTAACCCACAGGCGTCAAACTGCAGGCCGCGAGGGCCGGTGTCCTGCAGGTTTTAGATGTGTCCTTGAACCAACACAGCTGATTTAAATGGCTAAATGACCTCCTCAACATGTCTTGAAGTTCTCCAGAGGCTGGTAATGAACTAATCATTTGATTCAGGTGTGGTGACCCAGGGTGAGATCTAAAACCTGCAGGACACCGGCCCTCGAGGCCTGCAGTTCGACAACCCTCCAACCCAAGGACACAAAATACAGACTGGAGAAGCCAGGGATCAAGCCTTCAGCTTTCCAAAAGTAAATGATATGCACTAACTCTTGAGCCACAGCCAGCCTAAACTGTACTGACTTAAGGGGCTTTATATTATAACATAAAGACCCTACAATAATGCGGAAAAACCCCAACAATCAGATGACCATCTATGAGCAAGCACTTGGCAACAGTAGGAAGAAAAAACTGCCTTTTAACAGGAAGAAACCTCTGGCAGAATCAGGCTCAGGGGGAGGGAACCCTCTGCCATGACTGGTGAGGGGACGAAGACACATTGTGGAAGAGAGCCAGAGGTTAATAAGAACTAATGATGAAACCCAAAGTGGTGTAAATGGACAGGTTTTAATATATAGTGCTTTTCTACTCTGCCTGAGCACTCAACACTACAAACATGCCTTATTCACCCATCGATACCAACACATTTATGTGTACAAGTTCTTTCTGTCTAACATATTGGTGAGCGACTTCAGCATTCTGCCCAAGGACACTTTTGAACGCAGACTGAAGCAGCCGGGGATTGAACCACTGACCTTTCAACTAGCAGATATACCATGCTACCACTAGAGCCACACTCACCCCGAACAGAGCAGACGTGTTCTGTTGTGCTCTGTTTGGGTGATGGCACTATGAGGTTTTTAAGATATTGATTATTCAAGACTTTGTAACTGAGGAGAAAGATTTTAAATTCAGTTCTGGATTTAACAGCATTTTTTTAAGGGGGAAAAACTCTCTACAAAAAACTGTTGTGTAGCTTTCATTTCCGTGTATTTTTGTGGATGTTTTATGTTAAATAAATAGTATTTACATTACAATTCTCAGAAAGTACTGTTATTATTCAAATGTTATTGGATAATTTAATGTGAGAAATTGACCGTGCCTTTTGCTCTGTGACAGCCGGGATAGGCTCCAGCCCCCACCCCACCCAAGTGGAACAAAATGGACTGACTTTAACCTCAGAATTCTGCCTTCAATGTCAGAATTCTGACTTTTTATTCATAGTTCTGACTATTTTCTCAGAATTCTGCCTTCAATGTGAGAATTCTGACTCAGAGCCACCCGTTTTCACTCCTTGGCTCATGTGATTAGGTAGAGGATCATGGTAAATGGTAAATAGCCTGTATTTATATAGCGCTTTACTAGTCCCTAAGGACCCCAAAGCGCTTTACATATCCAGTCATCCACCCATTCACACACTGGGGTGGGGATACTCCCACTGGGTTTAAATCTGGGACTGTCCACCATTTGACCTTAGAACTCAAGAAGCTTCTCGGATGAGAGGTGAAACGTCTTCATGCAACTTAAAGAAGTCCAGCTCCTTAAAGCTCCTTAAACTATGATGACCTGGATGACTGAGAAACTTCACAGACACGGCACCTTGTTTGGTTTCCCCATGTGCTCGACGTGCTCGTCATTACACCACTGTAAACTGTCCGGGTCTTCTTTGCGTCCTCCAGAGTGCTGAGGTTAATTGAAATATAGCTACAATTATACATATTTTTCTTACCTTTAAAGGTGTCAAGGAGTAAACTGGTGGAGATGTTTTCAGTCATCAACATGTGTGCATAAGCAGATGATAATGAAATCAATAAAGACTAACATTATCATCAATAAGTAACTTTTTGAAAAATACCTCATTAAGGCTTATTTTTAACCTGAATATTTAAAACAGCTTAGGCTGCTGCCCCCGCGGCCTCGGATAAAGCGGATGAAGATGAATGGATATTTAAAACAAACTAAACAATATATAAATGTAAAAAGTCAGTGCTGAAAAATTCCTCTGTGGAAAAATTATTCCATTTTTTTTAATTGGCACCCGAATGCCATCATTTGGGTTTTAGCACATAAATACAGCGCTTTGCTACGTTAGTCCTGTTTTTTTCTTACATTTTGTGGGCATCAGCTGTGTTATTAACAAACATATCAGCTGGAACTGATATTACAGGCAGTTTGTGAGTAAAGTCGACACAGAGACTAGCTTTTCAGTCTTCTCAGTAATACTTCTTATGTTATATACACGCCATTAATGAGCGACTGTTTACGTGCACGCGTTAAAAAAAATCTATATTATACTAAAAAACATAGTTTTTGCCCGCCACGTGGGCGTGCCCAGTAGCTTTGACGTCACCCATTGCGCGTCTGCGTCATCAGTAACGGAAGCAGGAAAACACGACCAGGTCCAAAGTCTAGTAATGAGTGCGTGAAGTATTCAAGGTAAGAACGCGCGGGTGTACTGCTGCTGCTCGGAGCGTGTCGTGCTGAATAACTGCTGACTGTAAAGAGAGGTTGAGCGTCATATCCTGTATACGCTAAACTGAGCAAACTTGTTGTGCCAGAACGCGATTGTCTGCCAAAACCTGATTTCCAATGTTTCCGTGTATTTTTCACGTGTAATATCATCACGTATGTTGGTAAATAGACTTCGGTGAACAGCGTTTACAAAGAGGTTACATGTAGAATTAAAAATGATCTGTTTGTCAAGTGTCTTTACAACTCTGTGTTATTGTACTTTATAACCAATCCGCTCCTTTATCCCCACTTCAAATACTTTTACAGAACTATCGTAATATTTGCTGCCAGCGCTGCTCTTACAAAAGACATTGTTAATGTTAATGAGATTTGTTTTTTTACTGCAGAAATAAAGGTTCTATAAAAGTCACTGCTGTTACTGTTACACGAATGTTGTTGTGGCTCCAGACTTTATGTCATCCATGAGGGATGCAGTTGACATATGTTTCACATATTATAGCCCAACACGTTACTTATAGCACTTTAAATACGAACAATCCGTTTTTGGTAAATACCGGAAATCAGTTTTTTGCAGACAGTCACTTTTTGGCTCAACACCGGTTTTACTATCTGTGTTGGTGTGTATGTAAGAGACACGTGGGAATACTGTAAGCTGGTATTTTGACTCTTTTGCGCACAGTCCAGTGAGCATTAATAGGCTTCACACAGATGTTCGTAGCCTCTGTACAAACTGCTGACTCTACTGTGAGCTAGAACAAGATATATTGAGCCTGTGGGAATGTAAGAGCTGACCAAACTTATTTGAGTTAAATGTGAAGTAACATTTTAACCATTATTTTAAGCTTATGTTCTGTTCCTGTGCTCGTTCCAAGATGACTCAGGTAAGCCATCATCCATGGGGAGAGTGGCCTGGCCAGGGCACCGTGGACCTGTGGGTTGTCCAGTCTCCTCAGGTGAAGGTGGAAGTCCTAACCTTAGGTGCCATTATCAGATCAGTGAGCTACAGAGGGAACGATGGACAAATGGAGGATGTAGTCCTTGGCTATGATAACCTGGAAGGTAGGAGGGAAAGTAACTTGTGTTGTTATCTGCACATAAACCGGTTTAATTGTATAAAAAGCAATGAGATGATTAAAGTGGTTAATTTAAGCACAAACTCCTGAAAGTGATGTCTGTTGTTCAGGTTCTCTAGTGCAGGCAGACGTGATCGTGGGTTGTTTTTTGCTTCACATGAATCTGAACATCAGGCGACGGCTAAAGTGAAGCTCATGCAGTAGACTTTCTGTGTCTTTTCCCACCCCTGGAAACACCCATTATTTGTTTAGTAAAGAGATGATTGTCACTAATATATTGGATTGGTGATGCGCTCACTGATCTTAACCTCTTACAACGCCCAGCAGTGTTTTTCAGAAACGTGCACATTATATTCCTGATACTTATTGTGTCACTAGCAGTACGGCCTGCAGCTCTGTCTCACTGCCACTTTCCAGTGTGTCAAGTGTTTAGTTTTTCCTTTGTCTCTTTTAACACTAATGGTACTTGTAATAAACTGCCATGTAACAAAGATTCACAAAGAAAATAGCGGCCATTATAAGTCTTCTCTATAAATATACCAAAGCTGAAACATCATCACTTGTCTTGATTTCGAGGACTCCAGTTTTTTTTCAACATTGCATGCTGCACCTCTCATCACAGATCCAGCTAACACGTCTGCATGAAATAGGCAAGAGTGCACCAGTCTGGTCCTTATTCTGGTCCCCAGTTTTCACGGCTGAGTCCAGTACAGAATCAAGTTCTTCAGGAATTTTCAGTACTGGGTGGGAATCGAACTTGTGACTCCCGCCCCAAAAGTGTGTAGTCTTACCACTACAATATCCAGCTTCCATATATCAATAAGAAGTATTATGCTTTGTTGTCAGGTTATGTATCAGATAAGCGGTACCTGGGCGCTGTGGTGGGCCGTGTGGCAAACAGGATTGCAAAGGGACGTTTTGTCCTTGAGGGAAAGGAGTACCAGCTGGATCTTAACAATGGACCAAATGCGCTGCATGGAGGCCTGCGAGGCTTCAACAAGGTGAGGTCTGGTTAATATTAGTTTGTGCTCCAATCTTAACATGGAGCACAATTTGTGGAAAACTGTATAAATGATGTGTTTTCCCTCTGTGTACATGTTTCACCAATCACAGCTAAGTGTTTGACCATTATTTGTAATGTGTGACAATTTGTGCACACAGTGCAGAGCAGCTACCTGAACACGACTCCCACAGGCATCAATTATCCTGCTAACAATTTTAAGCTTTACTCCGTACGACTCTGGATACTGTAGCTCCTGTGAAAAAACCCTTAAATCAGAAGTACTGGACTCCGTGGTATAATTGTAAAACATGTAGCCTAAAGCAGATGACTCGTAGGCTGGAGAGGAAATGGTGTGTCACAAATGTAGAAGATCATCATCATTTGGAGAAATAGTTTGTTGCTTTATAGGAAAGCCCTCCGTAAAGCCAGAACATCTTACTATTCATCACTGATTGAAGAAAATAAGAAGGTTTCTCTGCAGCTCTGTAGCCAGGCTGACAAACAGTCAGAGCTCTGTTGAGCCAACCATCCCTTTAACGTTAACTAGTAATGACTTCATGAACTTCTTCACAAATTCTCATGTCTTTTAGACCCCAATCCTACAAGACTGCTCAAAGAAGTCCTGCCATAATTCTTCAACTAGTTTTGTTTTTTAAGGGGCTTCCTTCTCTGGGTTTAGACTAAAATGACCGACACAGGCTTTTAACACTAAACTACTGTACAGAGCTCTTCTTAGGCTTTTGGCATTGCCGATTCTGTTCTTCATGTTGATGAGTTCCTTCTGGCTCCACCTGTAATTTGAACAAATGAAAGAATGGCTGAAAAGAAGACTGGACACACTGCCCTTTTTTACATGTGCAATCCACGCCACAGGAAAACCCTCACACATCAAAAACAGCAGGGTTGGTCTCACAGACTGAAATATACACCCATCACTTCACAACACCTACTTGTTGGCAGCTGTAGATTGAATTTTACTGAGCTCTGTAAGCTGCACTTTATGTATCCTGTGTACTCCACGATTCATGTGTGTTTGCTTCTGCAGGCTATCTGGCTTGCTGCAGCAGTGGAAGGTGGTGTGCAGCTGAGTCTTACCAGTCCAGATGGAGACCAGGGTTATCCTGGTGAAGTTCAGGTCTCTGTCTCCTACACACTGCAGGTAGACACATCTGGTTATGAATTCATACTACTGCATCCCAAATTTCCTTTTGGCAGAGCTAATTCGACGTTGCTGTTTAGTGATACTCAGACATTTGTTTTGCCAGCACAGATATTGAGTTTGAACTTGTTTGCTCAGGGGGAAGAACTAACTGTTGAATACCAAGCACAGGCTAACAAAACTACCCCCATCAACCTCACCAACCATTCCTACTTCAACCTGGCCGGACAGGTAAGTGACATGGACACGTTTCTGGGTGCCTCTGCACAGTGGTGTTTGTGTGGTTGGCACTGCTAGTCTCCTGGCTTACAAAACAATATTTTGCCCACTAGGAAGTGTGGTTTCAGTGTGTTGCCTCTGCTATGAACGGGCAGTCCTCTAAACTCCTTCCCCACATCCACACTCTGATTCTTGGTCCACAGGTGTAACGACAGTAACACAATCAGAATCAGAGACTTTATTTATCCCCAAGGGGCAGTTAAGATACAACAGAGCAGCATGACGTTGAAGCTAAGGACAGGGCGTAAGCAGGCAATAAGAGTGAGATAATAAATACACAGAATATACACAGTTTTAAAATTACAAAGCTGTTAAATTAAAGTGACTGAAAGGTGAATAAATAACTGTAAGTGAATAAAGTGTGGGCAGTATAAAAAGAGTGTAGAGTAGTTTATGTTTCTGGTGTGGGAAATGGTCTTATTGGAGTTAGAAAGCAGAGCTGCTTAAGGGGACAAAGGTGGCGCTCCTCAGCGGAGGCGTCGCCCAGAGGGCAGCCACTGAAATGCGGGGTGAAGAATGTGAGAGGGGTCGTTGATGATCAGGCTGCCTGTCTGAGGGCCTGTTGCTGAAAACCTGAGCCAGAGTTCTGACAGGCCAATGACTGTAGAGCACGCTGATGCAGTGTGCTGCAGTCTGTTCCTGTATGAAGGCTGAGGGAGTGGAACCAGCAGCTGATGGAGAAGGTCATGATGCTTTCCAGGAAGGCGTAGGAAAAAGTCATCATGATGGCTGTGCTGACTCCAAAGGAGTTGAGTTTCCTGAGGAGGTGTAGCCGTTGGTGGCACCTCCTGAGAATCTCCTCTGTGTTAGCAGAGAATCTCAGGAGGTTGTCAAAGATGGTTCCCAGGTATTTGTACTCCTCAACCACCTCCACTGGCTTCCCATGGATGGTGGTGGTGACTGAAGCAGCCAGTCCATGTCTTTGGTTTTGCTCACGTTCAGTTCGAGTTTGGAGCCGTCACACCACCCTACAAACTCCTGCACAGCGGGCCCGTGGTGTTGTGAGTGCCTGACAGCAGTGACAGGAGAACAGTGGAGGTGGAACGGAGACCGGAAAGAGAGTCGTTGACCCGAACTTTCTGAGTCCTGTTGGTTAAAAAGTCCAATATCCACAGTAACGACACGGGGAAAGGTTAAACTGCAACATCTGCTACGAGGCACCATCACTTTTACTTCTTCACGATGTACAGATATAACAATGAAAACATATGAGCTCCGTCTTTAATACAACCCAACCTCCCATCTAGCTTCCTGTTTACTGATGACATCATTTCCTGTTACATACTATATGGATTTAAAGGTGATTCCAATGAGAAATCTAAAATAGCATTCTGCCCTAAATTAATTTAAACTCGTGATATCAAACACTGATACTCTCAGTCAGTTTTTCACAATTTTATTTCGTAAACTGTTAAAGGAGGAGGCAGGCCTATTTTGGCAGGATGTTCTGGTATTAGTGAGTGTTGGTTGAGTCTCAGACAGATCAACCCCTTCCTCCTCACATCAAGATGAGTAACGTGGCTATATGTATGGAGAGGATGACAGATGATCTGAAAAATCTTATCTGTGCTCCAGGGTGTAGCAGATATCTACGACCATCAGGTGTCCATCACTGCACAGTCGTACCTGCCTGTGGATGACACATCAATTCCTACAGGTAAAGATTTACTTCAATCCTCTTTAACTGCAAAAGTCAATGGAATGAAGTGGTTTATTTAACAGATGTCAAATATAAAACTGAATGATATAATAGGAAAATTCTCATTAAATAAGCAAATAGAATTAATCAATCTGTCAAAAGCATACAAGCATATTGGTAGTCTCTGACAGTTTGGTGCTTCAAATCACTTCAGTTACACTGTCTCGGGAACAAGACTGCAGACTTTATAATCAGTTAAAGTACATATCCATTTGACTCTTTAGCTCCCCTCTCAGTCCTTGAACTTCTCATGTTCTCCTGGCGTTCCACGTATGCCCTGCCCGTTAGCATCTCGCTCCCTGGTTCAAGGTTGAAGGTTCTTTATTTGTCACATGCATAGTTATACAAGTATAACACACAGTGAAAAGTAACCTGACACGCTCCTCTACATGTGCAAAAATGGGGGGGGGGGGTAGAGGAAGAACATTATATATATATAGTATATACACTGGGTGAATGTGCAGTAGTAGCAGCAAGCAGGTGAATTCTGTACATTAATATGAATAGACATCTGACTATTTTACAGGATAGACAATATAAACATATTTAAAATTAAAGGAATTTGAAATGTACATTATGTGCTGTTACGTGCTCGACTCAGGGACATCTTTGCACAGTATCTGGGGTCTTTCCTGTGGTAGATCCCAGCCTCTGCTGATTTGGGGGAAAGGGCTTGTTCCTGTGCCTCCAGGGTTGTTCTCTATACTGTCAGCTTTCAGCTCTGTCCAGCCATTTACAGGATTTCAGGATATCAGCAACTTCTTTTTCTAGTGGGATTGTTGTAAAGCAATGATTCCAGTATGTGTTTTTATTAGTGGGAGGCGTGTCAAACTCCAGTCCTCCTGAAACTTTTCCACGTGTCCCTGCTGCAACACACTTGAATACAAGTAGGTCATTAGTAGAGATGGACCGATCGATATTACGTATCGGTATCGGTCCGACGTAAATTACTGGATCGGATATCGGAGAGAAATAAAAAATGTAATCCAATCCATTAAATATCAGAAAAGCACCTCACAAAACTTCAAAACTTGCAACATGGCGTAACTCGCCTCATAACTGTAGCACGTCGCAGCAGTGTGCATCACGTGATAGAACGGCTGTGAGTATTTGTAGCCTCGCTACCAAACCGGCATTTCATCTCCGACAAAGTTATCCCAGAGAGAAGTAAAGCAAGTGTGTAAGTTCATCTCTGAGTGTTTGCAAAGCATTCCCACGTTAAGCTTAACAAGCGATATATGGAGCGACTGCCTCTCTCTCCGGCTGCTACTTCAATCATGAAACTGCTTAATGATCAGCTGATCGGCTTTTCTGTCGCGACTCCGTCTCTCTTCTTTGTTTTTGGCCCACTTTGCACCAGAAAGAGGAAACCAGCGGCTGAACAACAGCAGCACGTTTAAGCTTGATAAGCTGTTGTTAGCATGTATTTAATATTACTTTCTACTCCAGGATCTTTTTCTACACAGCTGACGTAACTGTGCAGGGGCGGATCTAGCAAAGTTTAGCCAGGGGGGCCGATAGGGCATTAACTGGGAAAAGGGGGCACAAAGACATACTTTTCTTTCTTATTCTCATTTAAAATGTCGAGCTTTTAATAAATAATCCGAATCTTACACCCAAAGTTTTCATCTGATGTAAAATGTATAGAAGTCCATTACTGTATATAGTAACTGTTAAGTCTAATATACCCTAGTAAGCTATAGTATTTTTTCCTTTGGGAAGATACTATCTGTGCAGTCTGCAGTTCTGTTGAAGAAAGATGTTGAATCTATTTAATATTTCTTGAAAAATAATTTATTTCCATGCATTTTTTTCACACTGCATCAAATTAAAGTTGATTATGTCGATTAAGCATCATGAGGTGGAGGGTGGGGGGTGGTTCCCTATTTTTTTATTTTTTTTGCTGGGAGTTTTAGAGCCCTATTAGTTAGGTTGCTTAATATTTCTGCTAAGTACTCTTTAAAATACCAGAATGGAGCAGGTTTAAGTTTATTAGATTGATCAGTTTTGCTGAACTATGAAATATTTTGGGTGCAGTGTATTTTTTACATACAGGTATAACAGAATAGCTTTAGTGTTGTTGTTGTTGTTTTTTAAAACTTGAGTATGAACTTGTACAAAAAGCAGCAAGATATTAAAAAAACAGTTCCATTGATCAAAAAACACTATATCGAATTCATATCGGTATCGGCAGATATCCAAATTTATGATATCGGTATCGGACATAAAAAAGTGGTATCGTGCCATCTCTAGTCATTAGCGAGACTCTGTAGAACTTGACTGAATGCTGAAGGTGGCAGGTGTGTTGCAGCAGGGACACATGGAAAAGTTTCAGGACAGCAGCCCTCGAGGACTGGATATGGGCTCAAAATGTGGTCATAAATATTTTGTACTTGTAAAAAAGATTTGTATGTGTAAAAAGAATTTGTGTGTGCGTAAAAAAGATTTGTGTGGACTTAGCCAAAAGAAAAAGTATGAATTTTGACCCTATTTTTCTTCCTTTCATCTGATTGGTCAATGTCATGTCAATCACAAATGTAACAATCCAATCAGAGAACAGATGGGTTTGGCTGTCGAGGGGCGCTTTTTTTGAATTGCAGGTCTTTGAAGGGAATAAATGCTCTTTTACATGCCAACCCAGCGTTTTCCTTCATCACCAAACAGTCTGTGGTCGTCCGAGTGTGGTGATTTTTGTGTCACAGGTCTACGTGTTTAATACAGGGACTTCCACAGCCTTTTCAACAGCGCTGCGGACCGCGGGGTGGGGGCGGGCAGTGTTTTGGAAATGACAGTCTTCATTACAAAGCTTTCTTCGTTATGAATTAGCATACATGTTTTTATTGAACATTTGAAGAACCAGCAAAAAAAACCAAACTCTTGTAGAGGACATAAAGTCAGAGATAGAAAAGACAAGGAGCAGGTGCATCTAGTACAGGTAGAGCTGCTGCAAAAACCCACAGAGCTCAGCAGCCAGCAACAAATTCTGGATCCTTTGCTTTTAGTTAGCAGTTAGCATTAGCAGCACATCCTGCATTCCGATGTGAAAGGACCTTTATGCTGCGCACTGTGACTCACAGCAATGGTCCTGGGTCAGCCCTGACTTTGTGTTAAACTAATCCTAAAGTAATAATGGTATTTCTAACCACTGATATAGCACAACTTTTTCCTTTCAACAGCTGCTGAAAGTTAGGGGACCTAGCTGCTATCGGATATTTATATAGCGATCCTCCAAACTGTATCACCCTTCAAGGACCTGCAGTTCAAAAAAGCGCCCCTCCGGCAGCCAAACCCATCTGTTCTCTGATTGGATTGTTACATTTGTGATTGACATGACATTGACCAATCAGATGAAAGGAAGAAAAATAGGGGTCAAAATTTGTACTTGTCACTTGCAGGGTTTTTTTGGCTAAGTCCACACAAATCTTTTTTACGCACACACAAATTATTTTTACACATACAAATCCTGATTTACAAGTACAAAATATTTACGACCACATTTTGAGCCCATAACTGGAGTTCAACACCTGTGATTTAGTGTGAGACAGGCAGAAAATCTCGGCTGAAAACTTTCTCTTTAACCTGCCGCTGTGACCACAGTTTTCACCCTACAGTGATCATTTTACCCTCAAGATGTAGCTACGTGTCGTTTTTTCAACGAGTCCTTCCTCAAAGCCCAGAGATGTGTAACTTTTGAACTGGAGCCATTTGGTTCAGTCATCCTCTGCTCCCGTTTACTCCCTGTTTAATTTTTCCAACCAGTTTTGGAAAGAAAGAAAAAGACATCAGTTTTGAACTCGCTCTCCTGACCTCAGTTCAGCATAGAGCTATGTGCTGAATGTTACTGACAGTAAAAGAACACTGTGCCTCTTTGTTAGGTACACTTTTGTTCAGTCTACAGCAACAAGCTATTTTGGTGCAGCGCTGCTCTCACAGACTGACAGAGAGAAAAGTGGGTCTTTTCTGATGTCCTGCCTCCCTCATTTGAGTTTCATTTGTGGATGGTTTCGTCTGTGTCTCACCATAGTGTGGCTCTCCATGTTTGTGGCACTCTCACAACTGACCCATCTGGTACATGCAAGTTTGAATTTTTACAATCCCACTGCAGTCTCTCCAGAAATGACAAATTCTAGTTATTTTCCTCTTTAGTATGCAGGTGCTTAACTATATAAACCAAACCCACCGTTCGTGAGCTCATGTGAAGGCCACATAATGTTTGGAGGCCTTTGATTGGCTCTTGGACTTGTTGTATGGCTGGCGTTCTATCACAGTAATTCAGAAACCTCCCAGAGGTCACTGTGGGGATGAGAATGACGAAGCTAAGATCCTGTGGGATTTTCAGATACAGACAAGCTCCTGATGGAAACCACTGGACAATGGTGATAAAGCAGAGGAACGTGCCTGTAGTGCGAGATGCAGCTAAGTACTAGGTACAGCAAAGATAGTGTGCAGAACGCTCACTAGCAAATGATTTAGTTTGCTAAACATGTTACTTATGGACTTTTTGTCATTTAATATATCTTAATGCTCCAGTAAATAACTCGTAACTGCAATAATTCACCTTTATAGAATCGATTGTGTGACATTAATTAACATTCCTGATACGAAGTCATGAATTAATTCACTAAATACTAACAGGAGAGATCAGAGAGGTGAAAGACACACCCTTTGACCTCAGAGAACCAGTTCTCATTGGCCCTCGTCTGAAGGAACTTCAAGGCCCAGGGTTTGACCACAACTTCTGTTTGTCATCACCCGGAGGTCCATGGACAGAGAAACGCGCTGCCAGGTTTGACACAGAAGTCATTTTCTAAAACATACTGTAGACACATGTGACATCCACTGAAGTTAAGGAGGACAAATAAGTCTCATCTTAATTGTTTATTTATTTATTCATTTTAAAGAGTCTGTCACCCAGCAAGTGGGCGTGTCTTAGAGGTTTCTACTAACCAGCCAGGAGTCCAGTTCTACACTGCCAACTTCCTGGATGGCTCCATCGCAGGAAAGTGTGGTTGTAGGTACAGGAAGCACAGCTCCTTCTGTCTGGAGACGCAGAACTGGCCTGATGCTGTTAACCAGGTATGATGAATAGAAACTCAGTGTTGTGTTTTTTCTCTTGTAGATGGAAGTTAACCTTCGGTCAAGTTCACTTCCTGGCCTTACATGGATAGGCATGTAACATATCCTTCACGTTAATCTGCAGAGCTCTCTAGAGACTCATCTGTCTGAGACTCTTTGATTGCTCCCATCTCCAGAATAGTTTTTAATTCCTTCACGCCTACTTTTCATTGACTTCTAAACTCTTGAATGCATTGTCACACTTTGGCAAGTCTATAGGTATATATATTATCTAGGTTTATGCCTCCTGGTAGGGTAGACAGCAAAATGCTGTTGTGGCATGCAAACATATGCTCTCTTGGATGGTATAAGTTGGTCATCACAAATGAGCAAAGTGTGATTGGCAATCTGGCACCTGAGGCCCCAACTTATCAGATACCAAAGTCATTCAGCAGGCTCCTCGGAGAAACGGGCTTTGCCTCTCCAAACTTTTAGGAGGTTGAAATCTGTGTTGCTACACCTCTGTCAGAGAAGACAAGCTCATAAGTATCACAGTCCATACATATAGTCACTTTTCCCTGATTGCATCCATTGTCATGTATGATCTTTCAAAGTCTTCCTCAGAACTCGACCAGACCGTATGTGTGGTACTGACAAACAGTCATCCAAACAGACGTAATTAACCATTAGTCTGCTCAGAATCTCCTTTGGGATTCCAGCTCTGAGGATAACCTGAAATAGTGTCCATGTAACTCCCTCTGCAGAAATGTTGTGAGGTTGCATTACTTTGGGATATTGATAATAGGGCTTTGGAGCGTGATGTCACAGGGGTGGGCGTGGAAAGGATTTTGGCCCGATCCGCCATTTTGGGGGTCTAAGTAAGGAGCCAAAGCATAGCCATGGTTCGTACTTGCTGTGTGCTCGGCTGCAATGTTCGATCTTACGACCGGCACGGGAATAAGTTTGGATTGTCTTTTTATGCTTTCCCAACCTGGAAGCAACATGAAGGAGCTCATGTATCGGATATTACCAAACGAAGGCGTCTAGCCTGGATAGCAGCCGTGAGACGAGCTGATATCAAGTTCTGTTACGTCTCCAGATATCAGCTGGTGTGCTCAAGACATTTTCATTCCGGTAAGTTCTAAATATGTTCACATCACACTTTATAGCTGAATAATATCATCGTCTCAGAAGTTATAGAAATTGCGATCAAACATCGAATGGAGTGACTTGATTGGTTGATGTAAAGACAATAAATGAAATGAGACAGGAAGGACACAAATTGGCGTTAATAATTTGCCCGATTATCAATGTGTTAACTTGCGTGTACTTTACAATTATGGGCATATAATATGATAACGATATTTTAGCAGTTAAATGATAAATGTGTAACATTAATTATGGTGGGGGGTGGAAAATGGCTATTTCACTCGGTGCACTCCAGCTGACTTACTTTGACGACGTACTCAGAGTTTGGCGGCTTGAAAATAGCCAAATCTTGCACCCAGCCATTTGTAAATTGGATGTGCGCCTCCAGTGACCTGTAATTACGAAACTGGTTCACTGTGTAAGCGCTTACTCCACAAACAAGATACGTGAAGATATCGGGGTAGGACAGTGGCGGTAAGTCGTCTGGGTCTTTACTCCACCGCCGTATTTCATATGGGTCCAGATTTGCGATGCACTCTATTTTTTTCCAAGTACCGCTGCTTCGCCTCTGGACGCAATCGGTCTCTATACCGTCCGTTTTCTTTTGAGCTGCTTTTAAGCATGTTTCTTGTCGTCGTCGTTCCAACACAGTGTGTTTGTTTTGATTCGTAGACCCCGAAAATGGAGCTGCGCTCCCACAATGCAATGCGGCGTGACGTCAACTCCAAAGCCCTATGATAACATTAGCCCTGTGCACTACAGTTGTATGGCTCAATGAGGTCTGTATCCATATGGACAAAGAGCACCTCCATTGATGACAGAAGGTGCACAGATGCTTAAACTGACTGGCTGAAAAAACAAAACAAAAGAAACAACGGTGGCATTGAGTGTGGGCTAGACATTAGCAGCTCAGATACCTTGAACACCCGACCAGTGTGTTCATGATCTGGTTCATTGTTTTATCATATCCTATCTAACTGCCAATTTGGTATAATGACCTGCCTGGAAATTAATTTCCTGCTTTTATTTCACCAACAGCTGAGTAATATCTGATTGTAATTTCATGATTTATTCCGTCTGTCCTTAATCAATATGCTTATGTCTACATGGTGACCATTGTTTGTTTTTGTTTTTATTACCTGGTCAAAGACAAAGTGAAGACTGCTGCCACAACACTGGAAAGTATTCTTTGGGGTGTGTTATAGGAAGTTGCAGAGCCTTCTGTCACACCACTGATTCTTTCTATCTCTCATACTGACTGAGCACATCTCTGATGGCTGTGGTTGCACTTCTACACATTACCCCACCAGTCCATCAAACCCTGGCCAATACCCCAAATCAAACAGTATGCAAACACTCATTAACTGCTTACTGAACAGCAGTGAAAACAAGTTTCCTCGTTGCTGTTTGGTTGTTTGTTTGGTTAAACAGACTAATGAGAATTAAAATAGAGTGTGTGTGTGTGTGTGTGTGTGTGTGTGTGTGTGTGTGTGTGTGTGTGTGTGTGTGTGTGTATTCAGCCTTCATTTCCTGACTGCCTTCTGCGTCCTGGAGAGAACTACCATCACATAACTCGCTACACCTTCACAACTGTCTGATCTGACAGACAGAAAAGAAGAAAATTTCATCGTTTGCAGCAGATTGTTTCATTTCCTAAAAGTCTGCTTTTTTATTTTGAATATAATTTTTGTTAACATTTTACAATATTTTGTTAAGCTTGTTTTAGTTTGAGCATCACAGAACTGATGAGATAAAGAAAAAACCTTCATAGTTCAACATGACCAAACTGTTATAATTTGATTTATGATGATGTGCCATACTTGTCATATTAAACACAATATTGATCAAGCGATTTCTCTCGTGCTGGTGCTTTGTTTCAATGTGTTCTCTGAAGAGGCTGGCATCGTGGCTGGTTACTGCTGTCACCTCGCACCAAGAAGGTCCTGCGTTTAAATCCACTGGTAGGCTGGTCCCGTTCTGTATAGATGTATTAATGCATGCTCAATCATCCAGGTAAGGAAATCCCAGAAAGGTTGATTCTGTTCATCTGAATGTAGAGTTTTCAGTGAGAGAAACATTTCATCACTCATCCAGGTGACTTCTTCGGTCTCAGCTGACTGCAGGTTTCCAACCGTATAAACGTACAAACAGTAAACGGCACATTTGCATAATGACAGAAATCAGCACCAATAGCGAACAATGGGCTGTGAGGTCAGTTTCTTGATAATTGATATGCAAATTGTCATGGCCACCGATCAACAACAATTGATTAATGGCTATGAGTACCATTCACAGAGAGTAGGGGAATGGCTGCAATCATAGCATTGTAAGATGTACCCTTAGGCCCCCTCCTCCATTCCTCTTTCGCATAAATGGCCTCCTTGACTCCACGCTCAAACCAGCGTTCCTCCATGTCCAGGATGTTACATCGTCATCCTTGAAAGAGTGTCCACTGGCCTGTAGGTGTAAATAGACTGCAGAGTCATTTGTGTCTAACCGTTTTTCCCCACTCGGCGAGACACCTGCCGGGGATCAAACTCTTGTAACTGGTGATTCTGTTCTGAGACATGTGAAGCTAGAGACACCAGCAACCATAGTCAATTGTCTTCCAAAAGCCAGAGCAGGCGACGTTGAGGGAAATTTAAAACTGCTGGCTAAGGGTAAACGTAAATTATAATTCACGTCGGCAGTAATGACACCCGGTTACGCCAATCGGAGGTCACTAAAATCAATATTGAATCGGTGTGCAACTTTGCCAAAACAATGTGGGACTCTGTAGTTTTCTCTGGTCCCCTCCCCAATCAGACCAGGAGTGACATGTTTAGCCGCATGTCCTCCTTAAATTGCTGGCTGTCTGAGTGGTGTCCCAGAAACGATGTGGGCTTCATAGATAATTGGCAAACCTTCTGGAGGAAACCTGGTCTTGTTAGGAGAGACGGCATCCATCCCACTTTGGATGGAGCAGCTCTCATTTCTAGAAATATGGACAAATTTATTAAACCCCCCAAAATATGACTATCCAGAGTTGGGACCAGGAAGCAGAGTTGCAGTCTTACACGCCTCTCTGCAGCTTCTCTCCTCCTGCTACCCCCCCAAAAACCCATCTCCATAGAGACTGTGTCAGCTCCCAAACAGACAAAAAACAAACTAAAAACCATCAACAAACAACTTAAACATAAACAATTACAAAGAAAGAACAATAAAGTATCCACATCTGAACCAAAGAGTAAAACGGTGAAATCTGGATTATTAAATATTAGGTCTCTCTCCTCCAAGTCTCTGTTAGTACATGACTTAATAATTGATCAACAAATTGATTTACTCTGCCTTACAGAAACCTGGTTGCAGCAGGATGATTATGTTAGTTTAAATGAATCAACACCCCCGAGTCATTCTAACTACCAGAAACCTCGAAGCACAGGCCGAGGGGGAGGTGTGGCAGCAATTTTTCACACCAGCCTATTAATTAATGAAAGACCAAGACAGACTTAATTCATTTGAAAGCCTGATGCTTCGCCTCGTCCACCCCAGCTGTGAAACTCAGAAACCAGTCTTACTTGTTATCATCTATCATCCACCTGGGCCTTACACAGAGTTTCTGTCTGATTTCTCAGACTTTATATCTAATTTAGTTCTGAGCTCAGATAAAATAATTATTGTGGGTGATTTTAACATCCATGTAGATGCTAAAAATGACAGCCTCAACATGGCATTTAATCTGTTATTAGACTCAATTGGTTTCTCTCAAAATGTAAAAGAACCCACCCACCACTTTAATCACACTCTAGATCTTGTTTTAACATATGCATAGAAACTGAACATTTAACAGTGTTTCCTGAAAACCCTCTGCTGTCTGATCATTTCCTGATAACATTTAAATTTACATATCAAACAAATATGTAAGACTGCTTTCTTCCATTTGCGCAACATCTCTAAAATTAGAAATATCCTGTCTCAGAGTGACGCTGAAAAACTAGTTCATGCATTTATTACTTCCAGGCTGGACGACTGTAATTCATTATTATCAGGAAGTCCTAAAAACTCCCTGAAAAGCCTTCAGCTAATCCAAAATGCTGCAGCAAGAGTCCTGACAGGGACTAGAACGAGAGAGCAAATTTCTCCTGTTTTGGCTTCCTGTTAAATCCAGAATTCAAAATCCTGCTCCTCACATACAAGGTCTTAAATAATCAGGCCCCTTTAATAGCAAGATGGTGGCATGCACAGACACAAGGCTCACTGCTTCTCACATTCAGTGCTTTGTTTTTTTGCTTTTTCTATGTGCATATGTGTGGATGTACAGGGAGTGCAGAATTATTAGGCAAATGAGTATTTTGTCCACATCATCCTCTTCATGCATGTTGTCTTACTCCAAGCTGTATAGGCTCGAAAGCCTACTACCAATTAAGCATATTAGGTGATGTGCATCTCTGTAATGAGAAGGGGTGTGGTCTAATGACATCAACACCCTATATCAGGTGTGCATAATTATTAGGCAACGTCCTTTCCTTTGGCAAAATGGGTCAAAAGAAGGACTTGACAGGCTCAGAAAAGTCAAAAACAGTGAGATATCTTGCAGAGGGATGCGGCAGTCTCAAAATTGCAAAGCTTCTGAAGTGTGATCATCGAACAATCAAGCGTTTCATTCAAAATAGTCAACAGGGTCGCAAGAAGCGTGTGGAAAAACCACGGCGCCAAATAACTGCCCATGAACTGAGAAAAGTCAAGCGTGCAGCTGCCAAGATGCCACTTGCCACCAGTTTGGCCATATTTCAGAGCTGCAACATCACTGGAGTGCCCAAAAGCACAAGGTGTGCAATACTCAG